AAGTATGATTTCCGATACCCGTTCAGAAGAAGTAAGATGTCGGATACCCGTTCAGGAGAAGTAAGATGTCGGATACCCGTTCAGAAGAAGTAATATATCGGATACTCGTTCAGAAGAAGTAAGATGTCGGATACCCATTCAGGGAAAGTAAGATGTCAGATACCCGTTCAGAGAAAGTAAGATATCGGACACCAGTTTAGGAGAAGTAAGATGTCGGATACCCATTCAGGGAAAGTAAGATGTCAGATGTATCATTACTCCTTACGTCCTTCTTAGGACGTAATTTTTTGTTATTTGAAGCCCCACTCTGGCTTTTGCCAGGGGCCGCAATATAGGCAGGCCATCAATATGGCCAATTGTCTGAACGCGGTTTCTGGGACCTCTCCACGGTGATCCTCATCCGCATGGTGGCACTTTGTGTCATCGGGTGTTTATCGCTTGTGTGATGTCCTGGTGGGGTAGAAAGTCAGTCAGTCAGTCAGATGTCAGATACCCGTTCAGAGAAAGTAAGATATCGGACACCAGTTCAGGAGAAGTAAGATGTCGGATACCCGTTCAGGGGAAGTAAGATGTCGGATACCCGTTCAGTGGAAGTATGATTTCCGATACCCGTTCAGTGGAAGTATGATTTCCGATACCCGTTCAGTGGAAGTATGATTTCCGATACCCGTTCAGAAGAAGTAAGATGTCGGATACCCGTTCAGGAGAAGTAAGATGTCGGATACCTGTTCAGAAGAAGTAAGATGTCGGATACCCGTTCAGGAGAAGTAAGATGTCGGATACCTGTTCAGGAGAAGTATGATGTCGGATACCCGTTCAGGAGAAGTAAGATGTCGGATACCCGTTCAGGGGAAGTAAGATGTCGGATACCTGTTCAGAGGAAGTAAAATGGATTCCCTGTAGTGTATCCAATTTCGTCCTTTTTAGGACGAAATTTTTTGTCATTTGAAGCCCTACTCTGGCTTTTGCCAGGGGCCGCAATATAGGCAGGCCATACATATGGCCAAGTGTCTGAACGCGGTTTTTGGGACCTCTCCACGGCGATCCTCATCCGCATGGTGGCACTTTGTGTCATCGGGTGTTTATCGCTTGTGTGATGTCCTAGTGGGGTAGAAAGTCAAGTCAAGTCAAAATGGATTCCCATCCATTGGAAAGTAAGATAGATACCCGTTCAGAGGAAGTAGGATGTCGGACACCCGTTCAGGATAAGTAAGATGGCGGATACCCGTTCAAGGGAAGTAAGATGGATTCCCGTTCAGGGGAAGTAATAGGTCGGATACCCGGTCAGGGGAAGCAATATGTCGGATACCTGTTCAGGGGAAGTTAGATGTCAAATATCCGTTCAGGGAAGTGAGATGTCAAATATCCGTTCATGGGAAGTGAGATGTCAAATATCCGTTTAGGGGATGCGAAATGCAATTTGACCCATCCAGGATTGCATGTTGGAACATGTTCACATTCTTGTCCGGATATGGCAGTTCCGGGTCTTTTAGGCCGGCTGATACCTTTTCTGTCACTTTGGCTAAATGATAGAAAGTTATTCAACACACTTCATCGTTACTCTGTTTTTGGAACAATTGAGAGCTTGAAATTTAGCAGGAAGAGACACCCACTAGTGGTCACGAAGCCGTTAGGACAGTCCTTCAAATGACACTGAAGTTCATAGTGCCGAAGCATCGCAGGCAGTCTCCTTAAATTGAAATTTCTCAGTGACAGTATCATCTCCAAGTTGTTGTCTGATTCAGCTATCTTTTAAAGATTAAATTTTTTTTTAAAGTGACTGTATAATTGTCTTTGAGTTGTGTAGTGCTGTCTTCCATCTCATTTCAATACTGTGTCGGGTTTATGAAACTTGCAATTTGAATCTTAAACTACGATGCCTTTTAGAGACCGCTGTATTATAAATGAGATATCCATTGAGATTTCACAGCTTTGACAATATCATACTCCCTGTCGAGAAGAATTCATCCACTGTGTTTGTTGCTAGTATGGCTGCAACTCAAGCCAGTGAAAAGATCTTGATCTCTGGTGCCATCCACTGCTGTGTCTTCCGTGAATGTGACAGTAACACGGCTGACCACTTCTCAATGTGTAGTATCTTGCGCTGCAAAGATAGACTACACAGTATCATTGCTGAAATTGTTTGAAAATACATGTTAAAAAATATGTTGAATGTGTAATCTACAATTCCACAATCTTATACAGTTTATTCATAAGCTATGCGATGTTTGAAAACCAAACATAATTGGTAGACGCAAAGATACATTATTGAAATCTCTAAGAAAAAAAAAAGCTCTATTTGTGTTGGGTTGAACAGGATATTGAGGAAAATGATGACAATAAAATAGGTGAATTCAAAAGGAGTGAAGATATAAGAGAAGTATCTGGGCAACCATTAGTATCAACAGTTATAAGACAGAGAAGATATAAGAGAATTATCTGTGCAACTAATAGTATCAACAGTTATAAGACTGAGAAGATATAAGAGAAGTATCTGGGCAACCATTAGTATCAACAGTTATACGACAGAGAAGATAGAAGTATCTGGGCAACCATTAGTATCAACAGTTATAAGACAGAGAAGATATAAGAGAAGTATCTGGGCAACCATTAGTATCAACAGTTATAGGACAGAGAAGATATAAGAAAAGTATCTGGGCAACAATTAGTATCAACAGTTATAAGACAGAGAAAATAGAAGTATCTGTGCAACCATTAGTATCAACAGTTATAAGACAGAGATGATATAAGAGACGTATCTGGGCAACCACTAGTATCAACAGTTATAAGACAGGGAAGATATAAGAGAAGTATCTGGGCAACCATTAGTATCAACAGTTATAAGACAGGGAAGATATAAGAGAAGTATCTGGGCAACCATTAGTATCAACAGTTATACGACATTGAAGATATAAGAGAAGTATCAGGGCAACCATTAGTATCAACAGTTATACGACAGTGAAGATATAAGAGAAGAATCTGGGCAACCATTAGTATCAACAGTTAAAAGACAGAGAAGATGTAAGAGAAGTATCTGGGCAACCATTAGTATCATTAGTTATGAGACTGAGAAGAAATGAGAGAAGTATCTGGGCAACCATTAGTATCAACAGTTATAAGACAGAGAAGATATAAGAGAAGTATCTGGGCAACCATTAGTATCAGCAGTTAAAAGACAGTGAAGATTTAAGAGAAGTATCTGGGCAACCATTAGTATCAACAGTTATAAGACAGAGAATAATTAAGAGAAGTATCTGGGCAACCATTAGTATCAACAGTTATAAGACAGAGAAGATATAAGAGAAGTATCTGGGCAACCATTAGTATCAACAGTTATAAGACAGAGAAGATATAAGAGAAGTATCTGGGCAACCATTAGTATCAACAGTTATAAGACAGTGAAGTTATAAGAGAAGTATCTGGATAACCATTAGTATCAACAGTTATAAGACAGAGAAGATATAAGAGAAGTATCTGGGCAACCATTAGTATCAACAGTTATAAGACAGAAAAGATATAAGAGAAGTATCTGGGCAAACATTAGTATCAACAGTTATAAGACAGAAAAGATATAAGAGAAGTATCTGGGCAACCATTAGTATCAACAGTTATAAGACAGAAAAGATATAAGAGAAGTATCTGGGCAACCATTAGTATCAACAGTTATAAGACAGAAAAGATATGAGAAGTATCTGGGCAAACATTAGTATCAACATTTATAGGACAGAAAAGATATAAGAGAATTATCTGGGCAACCATTAGTATCAACATTTATAGGACAGAAAAGATATAAGAGAATTATCTGGGCAACCATTAGTATCAACAGTTATATAACAGAGAAGATAGAAGTATCTGGGCAACCATTAGTATTAACAGTTATAAGACAGTGAAGATATAAGAGAAGTATCTGGGCAACCATTAGTATCAACAGTTATACGACAGAGAAGACAGTAGTATCTGGGCAACCATTAGTATTAACAGTTATAAGACAGTGAAGATATAAGAAAAGTACCTGGGCAACCATTAGTATCAACAGATATACGACAGAGAAGACAGAAGTATCTGGGCAACCATTAGTTTCAACAGTTATAAGACAGAGAAGATAGAAGTATCTGGACAACCATTAGTATCAACAGTTATAAGACAGAGAAGATATAAGAGAATTATCTGGGCAACCATTAGTATCAACAGTTATAAGACAGAGAAGATATGAGAGAAGTATCTGGACAACCATTAGTATCAACAATTATACGACAGTGAAGATATAAGAGAAGTATCTGGGCAACCATTAGTTTCAACAGTTATAAGACAGAGAAGATATAAGAGAAGTATCTGGGCAACCATTAGTATCAACAGTTATAAGACAGAGAAGATATAAGAGAATTATCTGGGCAACCATTAGTATCAACAGTTATAAGACAGAGAAGATACAAGAGAATTTTCTGGGCAACCATCAGTATCAACAGTTATAGGACAGAGAAGATGGCGTTACTTTGGAGACATACTGAGAAGAAACCAGCAGAGAGTTTTTTTTTTTTTACTGCGTAACAGATGTTTAATTTTAGGCACGACTACTGGAACTGACTATACAAGCATCTAAAGAAGGTTATAACACGTGAATGTGTAGACCCAAGGACAGTGGGATAAGCCGACGCATGCTGCGGGGGTTGGGACAGGGCTGATATTTGGTAAACAAACAATTCGTAATCTGAAGGTCATTTCCCGCAAATGACCAGGACCTGGGTTATTGGGTGGTGTCATATTAGCCCACATCCTGTAATCGAATACTACCAACAACTTTAATCAACTAACAATTTAAACACAAATTTTAACAGAAACCTTTTAAAATACATCTAAAACAAAACTAAAGCAGGATGGAAACTGGAAAAAAAATATAGACAACATTAAGAAATAAGAATGAGTGAAATAGCTGGCTTAGTATTGTATCGATCTGGTGAGTGAAAGATCTGCCCCCATGCTTCCACTACAAAAAGCTGATGATGGCGGACGAGCCAGGAGCCGACGATGAGGCGGGCAGCATTTCTCCCAAGGAGGACTTTAATCCTTTAGCTGATGACCAGTGAGTGGGCTAGTTACACCGTTTATTCTAGTGAACAACGTGCCAAGACATTACACTGTATCGTTATTATTTGTTGATTATTCCCATGCGATCGAGGATAATAACTCGTCTGCTAGAACGCCTAACTCCTAACTGAATAAATATTGATGCATAATAATTAATATCATAAAATTGAGTTGTAGGTGTACATATTTACAGTTTGTAGTGAAGTATGTAGACAGGATTAATATATAATTACTGAAATTACAGATCACAAATATTGATTTTATTATGAAACTTGCACAATTACGAAACTGAGAATGCAGATATTAGATCAGGGCTGAATAATTCACACACATGTCTGTCTACGTCTAGATATTGTGTATAAATGATATATAACATAATATTAGGATAGGGTTCGGTGTCAAATCGATGCTTTCGTGGATTGTTTGCGAGTGCTAATATCAGTTTAACTTTTTCTCTATGCAAACAAATACCCTGCCTCAGTCCTGTGTAAAATGCGGACTTCCTGCAACGAACACATCATGGCAAAAACTAGGATTACTTGACAATTTCATGACAGGCAACACTGCAGATGATAGTCAGTTAGTTGCTTATCCTTTACAGGACGTTGCAGAACCAGCCCCAACTGCCCCTGGCTGTTGTGTGGTTTTTCTAGGCAAATTACATCCAACGCAAGGCACATGGCCCGCAGCTGGGATCGAACCCGGCATTACAAAGCATTCGCATCGACTTAGCCACAGAGCCGACTCTGACGATAGTAGCAGACGATACTAGCGACCATTGACAATTTCGAGATACGCAACATTACAGACAATAATATGAAAATGGCTTGGAAAACACGCGCTCCGACGCAGATTAGTAATAGTCTTCTTCCGATTAAACTCACCGCCGAGCGTATCCCCCGCGCAGCTATGCGCGGCACGGATGGGGATCTAAACTAGATGCCTGGGACTCACAAGCAAATCAATTGGAGGAAGTTGAAGGAGATGCGGTAGCTGCTGCTCATGATACCCAACCATCTAGTTTAGTCCCCCATTCGCGCCATGCATAGCAGCGCGGGGGATATTGTCGGCGGTGCAGGATAGTCGCAGAAACAGGTCCACAATTAACATATCGCTGAAACCCTGTTAGAGCATTTGTTTCGTTATTCGGAGTCAATCCTAGTTTCGCCGCAATGTGTCGTAGAAAGTCCACATTCTACATAGGACTGAGGCCCTGTTATGGTATTTGTTTGGCCACCATAATATCTTGTAGAAGTTTAGAGCCTATCAATTTTGACAGACTTGGCTCACATTGATTTCCCTTTACAAAAATGAAAGAGGGATGGGTTTACAAGAAAGGCAATAGAGAATGTATTATACTTTTAATCCTAAAAAAAAGAATATATTTTGTTCACAACATTTTACAAATTCTTCACTTACCATGATTTTGCAGCTACAAAAGTAGTGAGCTATAAGTTTCTGGGCTATCCTCCGAATAACGGCCACATATTATGGCGGCCAAAAAGAGGGCCTCATTTACATGTAAATTGCGGACTTCCGGCGACTATACCGCCACCCCCGAGAGTATCTCCCGGGCCGCTACATACAGAGCGGGGCCAAACTAGATTGCTGGGACTCAAGAGCAGCAGCTTCCGCATCTCCTGCAGCGGTGGCAGTATAGTCGCCGGTCTGCAATTAAGTCTGCAATTTACATGTGACTGAGGCCCTGTCAGGGTGTTTTTTGGCCACCATAATATGTGGCTGTCATTCGGAGGACAGCCAGTTTCTGGGTAAGTTTAGCTGTTAGTTCTCACAGAGTGCTGAGCAAAATTTCAGAGAAAAAAATGGCAGAAAAATGAGCCATTACACACACTCTATTTACTATTTACTTTGTACAGTTATATACAGACTGTAGATGCGATGATTTCAATGTAGCTTAGCCATAGTATAGTAGTTTCTTTGCTTAGAGCACTTTCCTTCTCTTACACCATAAATACGGTAGCAATGGGACATTGTCTAATAAACATCAGAATCACTTGATTCCGAACAGCTGATCACTCAGCTTCGCTGGTGAAAATTCTATATCCGAATCACTTTCTGAAAAATCTAAATTTTCATTATTATTATCAGAATCAAAAACATCTGACTCAAACAATTTCAGAGCTTTGGCCGCAGAAAGACGCATTCTGTGACCTATACTTGTGGTTGGAACATTGTTGTTCATGGCACTTGAAATGGAACTTAAAGAATGCACTGTTGAAAAAAATGTTGCTGTGAATCCGATCAAATTATGCACATGTGGCTTCTGATAGGGAATGTAGCTGAAAGGGTTTTTGCAGAGTGACTTTTCCTGAATAGTTTAATCGTACTTCCAAACATTAGAAATAAGTACGGAGCCGTGTGCGAAGCAAAATCGACGGGACACACGATCGACGATGACAGCGTTGTCTGGGCAAAACAGAACTTCTCAATCAATGCTCACACTGTAGCTGGGCCCTTAAAGAGTTAAAATTCGTTTTTGGATGTGGCTAATTTTTGTCTTTTCCCTTTCGGTCACAATTGCATTTGTAATTGTAAATGATCAGGCCTTGTCTAAGCATTTTATAATCGCAGTAATTTTCTTTGTCAAGTCATCTGCCTGACAAAAATGAGAATATACTTGAGTTACCTTCATGACTTGCAGGTATTTATCTGTTGTGTTCCGTTTTACAGGCACATGTTCATCAGCTGTTATATTGTTCCGTTTTACAGGCACATGTTCATCAGCTGTTATATTGTTCCGTATGTGGTGTTCCTTTTATCTGGCAGACGTAACAGTAGCAATTTTCCCCCTACCTTATTGTAAATTTCAACACTTTGTAGGAAATTAGTTTGTTCAACTACTATTGCTCAAAATGTATGGAGGACATTAAAGAACCAAGCGACATATGATATACCATCAGACTCTGGGAACAACATCTTTCATTATTTTTAAAATTCATTGGACCATTATGTATCACTTATGGCTCTCCCCCGTGTGGGTTCCGGGGCCCTATTATAGGGAAAACATGAATAGACCCACTGCCTACCCAAAAACATGTCGCAAGAGTCGACTAATTGGGAGCTTCCTTGAAAGTCGGAGTGCATCTGCCTGAGAGGCAAGGAACCAATAGTCTGCACACAGATGTGTCAGATCTGTCAAACGGATCCATACGTAACACTCAGGTTCATTATTTTCCTCAGGCTTTTTTTTAATGCATTCAACTTTTGTTCCGTATCTTTAATAGACCTCCAGCTTTCCCTGGCATGTGTTAATTTAGAAATAACATTACAGTCAAGCTTTTAAGCTGCCAATGCCTTGCCAATGCATGAAATAATTTCTTTCTGTGTGTTTCCTTAACTGTCAATATTACTGTCTAAATAAGTAAGCTGATCTGGACAGTACTTTGGACCAGATTCATTTAAAAGTGGGTCTAAAGGTTTGGGCATCTCACTGGAAATCAGCCATTACTAACACAAGCACTAAACTTACAAATATCTGATGTGAGGGCAAGAGGTGTTCAAGAGAGATTTGAGGGAGGTGGAGAGACGGATTGCTTGAGAGTCCTCGTAGTTTTTGTGAGAGGTGGAGAGACGGATTGCTGAGGGTCCTCGTAGTTTTTGTGAGAGGTGGAGAGACGGATTGCTTGAGAGTCCCCGTAGTTTTTGTCAGAGGTTGAGAGACGGGTTGCTTGAGAGTCCCTGTAGTTTTTGTGAGAGGTGGAGAGAGTGATTGCTTGAGAGTCCCCGTAGTTTTTGTGAGAGGTGAAGAAGAGAGTGATTGCTTGAGAGTCCCTGTAGTTTTTGTGAGAGGTGGAGAGAGTGATTGCTTGAGAGTCCCTGTAGTTTTTGTGAGAGGTGGAGAGAGTGATTGCTGAGGGTCCCCGTAGTTTTTGTGAGAGGTGAAGAAGAGAGTGATTGCTTGAGAGTCCCTGTAGTTTTTGTGAGAGGTGAAGAAGAGAGTGATTGCTTGAGAGTCCCTGTAGTTTTTGTGAGAGGTGGAGAGAGTGATTGCTGAGGGTCCCCGTAGTTTTTGTGAGAGGTGAAGAAGAGAGTGATTGCTTGAGAGTCCCCGTAGTTTTTGTGAGAGGTGGAGAGAGTGATTGCTTGAGAGTCCCTGTAGTTTTTGTGAGAGGTGAAGAAGAGAGTGATTGCTTGAGAGTCCCTGTAGTTTTTGTGAGAGGTGGAGAGAGTGATTGCTGAGGGTCCCCGTAGTTTTTGTGAGAGGTGGAGAGAGTGATTGCTGAGGGTCCTCGTAGTTTTTGTGAGAGGTGGAGAGATGGATTGCTTGAGAGTCCCTGTAGTTTTTGTGAGAGGTGAAGAGAGGGATTGCTTGAGAGTCCCTGTAGTTTTTGTGAGAGGTGGAGAGAGGGATTGATTGAGAGTCCCTGTAGTTTTTGTGAGAGGTGGAGAGAGGGATTGATTGAGAGTCCCTGTAGTTTTTGTGAGAGGTGGAGAGAGGGATTGATTGAGAGTCCCTGTAGTTTTTGTGAGAGGTGGAGAGAGGGATTGCTTGAGAGTCCCCGTAGTTTTTGTTAAAGGTCAACTTAACTTTCTCTTCTTCTCATGTTGTTTCCGGGGCACCATAATAGGGAGAACAAGAATAGACCCACTGCCTACCCAACAAGCATGTTGAAGTAATTGACTAATTGAGGGCATCCTGTGAAGTTGGAGTAAATCTGTCTGAGAGGCAAGGAGCCAAGAGCCTGAAAAAAATAAGCCAGATATGTGAAACAGATGTGCACGCAACACTGAGGTCTTGGAACAAGACTAAATCCGGAGGTGGATGAAGACCCAGAACTTTGCCCTGGAGTTTACAGCCGATAAACTTGAAGAAGAGAAAGAACTGCTGTTCAGGTATTTAGGCAACGGAAAGACACATGTTCATGCCGTGAGATCTGCTGGGTATAGGGTGCTTGTCTCATGCTATAGACGACCACCTAATTACTGGCTGATGTGATCAATATAATTTTGACTGGGTTGATTGGTACCTTTCAAATGATAGGGGTACACTGTAGGAGGGGATATAACTGATGATGTAGCTGAGTGCTACCTTTCAAATGATAGGGGTACACTGTAGGAGGGGATATAACTGATGGTGTAGCTGAGTGCTACCTTTCAAATGATAGGGGTACACTGTAGGAGGGGATATAACTGATGGTGTAGCTGAGTGCTACCTTTCAAATGATAGGGGTACACTGTAGGAGGGGATATAACTGATGGTGTAGCTGAGTGCTACCTTTCAAATGATAGGGGTACACTGTAGGAGGGGATATAACTGATGGTATAGCTGAGTGCTACCTTTCAAATGATAGGGGTACACTATAGGAGGGGAAATAACTGATGGTGTAGCTGAGTGCTAGTACACTGTAGGAGGGGATATAACTGATGATGTAGCTGAGTGCTACCTTTCAAATGATAGGGGTACACTGTAGGAGGGGATATAACTGATGGTGTAGCTGAGTGCTACCTTTCAAATGATAGGGGTACACTGTAGGAGGGGATATAACTGATGATGTAGCTGAGTGCTACCTTTCAAATGATAGGGGTACACTGTAGGAGAGGATATAACTGATGGTGTAGCTGAGTGCTACCTTTCAAATGATAGGGGTACACTGTAGGAGAGGATATAACTGATGATGTAGCTGAGTGCTACCTTTCAAATGATAGGGGTACACTGTAGGAGAGGATATAACTGATGATGTAGCTGAGTGCTACCTTTCAAATGATAGGGGTACACTGTAGGAGGGGATATAACTGATGGTGTAGCTGAGTGCTACCAGCGAGGACACATGATTTTAGGGCCATGTTTCCATGGCATGTACTTATTGTGCTTCTTCAGAACCCTTAACCTGTCTGCAATCATTGTCATCTTTGTCCTGTTCTCTGTTTCCCCATCCTTGCAGCAGAGTCCAGTTCCCATGAATCTACCTCTATATCTGTATAATTCATGTCCCACTTTCACCTCAGAATATTTTGGTTAGATCGATCTGAGTCTAGGTCACTTTTGAAAACTCTCTTTTTGATAAGAATGGAACACATGACCAGTAGGCCAGCAGGCAAGCGTTTTAGCTACAGCACTATCACAGTTGGCGCAGCTTAAATAGATTAGTGCACATATCTATCTTGCCACCACAGGTTATCTATTTATAGCAGTCTGTATTTATTTCTGTATGTTTTCCCCAGGTATGCTGAATATTATCTGCGACAAGTTGTCAATGGAGCTGGAGAAGTCGATGATGAGGGACACTACCAGCACAGTAACTACGTGGACGGCACAGAGGAGGCTCCTTACAGTGATGACGAGCTGGATAGTTTGACTCTTGGCCAGGTGTACTCTATCACTCCGCCAAATTTGCCCCGTGTTCGCAAAAGAGAGCATGAGAAAGAACGTCAAACAATGAAGCTGCGTCACCCAGATAGGTCGTACAAGGAGTTTCTGATCAGCAAGCGACATAATCAGCCGAAGTCAGTGGCTAATATTATTAAAACTGAATATATGAGTGATCCTGCACTCTGTAATCTCACAGAATTCGACTCTGATGACAATCTAGACAAGGAATCAATCAGAGAAAAGAGGGAAAAGAGGAGGCGAGAAAGCAGAGAAACAAAGAAGACTTTATCAAAACTAAGGTTGAATGATCGACAAGAAAAGAGGTTGTCGGAAGATTTTAGTGCAATAACCATTAATGATTCCATGGACGGTGCCCATCTGAATGGGATGAAGCTGGAAGGATCTGGGCGTTTCTCCCTCCTGAAGCCAAAACCTATAGCTCCACTAACTGCTGAGTGCCGAGCCAGGAGGCAGGTTGGCGAACCTCCAGTTTGTCCCAGAGATCGGGAGGAATTTCATTCGAAATTTTCCTTACTCATTAATTTAGGCACAGAAGCCAAGAAAGACAAAGAGAAGATGATGTCTTCAAACAAACGGCAGCTGAGTGTGGAACTAGAACAATGGAGGGCTAGTTTAATAGAACAGCTGTGGCTGGAGCTGAGGGCTTACATCAACGGCATCTCTCCTGAGGAGCAGCACCATCTGCTGAAGATGGAGAGACAGGAGTATGAGAAGGTTATAGATGAAATCAACAGCTTTTGTTTTACAGATACTATAGCAAATGAATACCCTAACAGTGCCTTGGGAGGTGATTCTTACACAAGAAACCCACATTTAAAGGTAGACGGTACTTCGTTTCGAGAACTGGTGTCTCGTAGTGTCTCAGCTTCATTCAGTGATGTGAATCTAACTGACGAGACTGTCTGTCTGCAAGAGAAGGCCCTGTTTCAGGTGCAGAGTCTCCTGGAGAGGCTTGACCATTATGAAAGCTGCTTTAGTACCACTGAGGCAGCCAAACAAAGCAACCCCAAGTTCAAGGATCCGGAGTTTCAACGTAGGGTTAAGTGTTTAAACTTGTGGCTGAACATCACCTGTGACTTATGCCAAAAACTCAAACTTTTCGGTAGAATTATTGGCACACATTCACGGGGTATAAAATGGCCGCTGGTTAACTTTGAATTTCCCAAACCACGAGCTCGTGAATTCCTGGCCAGTCCTCGTGCCAGTATACCCAATGTTATGGAAACAGAGGCAACCGACTCGGAGAATGAAGAAGCAAATGTAGAGGAGGATGAAGAGGAAGTAGAAGAAGAAGAAGAGGAAAGAAGTGGTGCAGAAACTCAGCTACAGAACAATAAAACATATTTAAGTCCGCACCACAAACAGGTCAAGTTCCAGTGTGGGGATGACAGCAGTGATCAAGGGTCCCCTATAAGTAGTCCAGTTCCACAGGATTCCTCTCTACCAATGAACTCCAGCACACCGGTTCAAACCTTTTCTCAGAGCAACAGCTCTGTGACAAATACAGGGACTTCAGTCCTGAGTTTGTCACGAGCTTCAAGCGAAGTCAGTTTGGACGATAGTCGGATAGTGAAATCTTCAATTTACAGACACTATGTGGAAAAGTGTTTACGTAAGATGGGCTTGCATAAGCTGAATTTACGATTGCGGGATTTATTTCATGGAAGTTTAAAACGAGCAAAAGAAGCATTGGAGCGACCAAAGGAGTCGACATATTCCAATGTTGGGGAGTCTGGAGAGGAGCAGGTAGGAATTTCTTTTATGTTGTTCACTTGATTCTCTCATTTTATTTGACTTGATGTATTTCAGGGGACTCTTTACAGCTGATTGCTATGGCTGCAACTGCAACTTTTGTGGAAGGTCCTCTGGGAGCCCATTTTGACAGAAAGAAGAATAAACCTGCTGGCCCTAACGAACATATCGTAAGAGGCGGCCAATTAGGGATTCACTGAAATCAAATGTTTAGGACCAAAAGGTACAGATCAAGTAGTCTTATTGTAAACCATGATCTGCCAGCTGCTTTGGCCCTAACGAACATATCGTAAGAGGCGGCCAATTAGGGATTCACTGAAATCAAATGTTTAGGACCAAAAGGTACAGATCAAGTAGTCTTATTGTAAACCATGATTCTGCAGCTATCACTTTTGTCCAGTGTGTGTTTCTGCAGCTATCACTTTTGTAGTCTTCTGAACATCTTCTTTGTCCAGTGTGTGTTTCTGCAGCTATCACTTTTGTAGTCTTCTGAACATCTTCTTTGTCCAGTGTGTGTTTCTGCAGCTATCACTTTTGTAGTCTTCTGAACATCTTCTTTGTCCAGTGTGTGTTTCTGCAGCTATCACTTTTGTAGTCTTCTGAACATCTTTGTCCAGTGTGTGTTTCTGCAGCTATCACTTTTGTAGTCTTCTGAACATCTTCTTTGTCCAGTGTGTGTTTCTGCAGCTATCACTTTTGTCCAGTGTGTGTTTCTGCAGTTATCACTTTTGTAGTCTTCTGAACATCTTCTTTGTCCAGTGTGTGTTTCTGCAGCTATCACTTTTGTCCAGTGTGTGTTTCTGCAGTTATCACTTTTGTAGTCTTCTGAACATCTTCTTTGTCCAGTGTGTGTTTCTGCAGCTATCACTTTTGTAGTCTTCTGAACATCTTCTTTGTCCAGTGTGTGTTTCTGCAGCTATCACTTTTGTAGTCTTCTGAACATCTTCTTTGTCCAGTGTGTGTTTCTGCAGCTATCACTTTTGTAGTCTTCTGAACATCTTCTTTGTCCAGTGTGTGTTTCTGCAGCTATCACTTTTGTAGTCTTCTGAACATCTTTGTCCAGTGTGTGTTTCTGCAGCTATCACTTTTGTAGTCTTCTGAACATCTTCTTTGTCCATTGTGTGTTTCTGCAGCTATCACTTTTGTCCAGTGTATGTTTCTGCAGCTATCACTTTTGTCCAGTGTGTGTTTCTGCAGCTATCATTTTTGTAGCCCAAAACTATGCTGTTTCATTCCCTCACACTTCTGCATATCCCAGATTAACTACTCAGTGTCATGTCAACCTGCCTTATTCATCTTTTAGGACATGCATGGCAGGTTACAGTGTTTATTATATCTTGTGTCTCTCCTGTGCCACAGCTGATGGCGGGCCATATGATGACTCTAACTTTTGTCTCTCTCCTGTGTCACAGCTGATGGCGGGCCATATGATGTCTCTAACTTGTCTCTCTCCTGTGTCACAGCTGATGGCGGGCCATATGGTGTCTCTAACTTGTGTCTCTCCTTTGCCACAGCTGATGGCGGGCCATATGATGTCTCTAACTTGTGTCTCTCCAAATTGACATCCTCTGCTATTGATTTCTAGGCAGACAGTCAGAAAGTTTGCCATAAAAGTGTTAAGCTACATATCTGAAAACTATTGAGCATTTTATCTCTGATTACAATGCCTGCTATTAAATTGTTGCTGTATTCATTGTTTGACTATACGATTTGATCATCCCCCCCCCCCTCTATTTTTGTCTCTCTCTCTCTCCGTCTCTCTCTCTGTGTGTGTGTGTGTGAGAGAGTAAGTAAGTAAAAGAGAAATAGAGATTTTCTAGGATCCTCGGTGGTGCAAGAAAATTATTTGCACCATCTTTTTATTGTTGTGTTCTGTTTACATCTGGCAGCACTGGCTGATCTTAAAATAATATAGAACAGGAGTTGTCAGCATAAACACGCTAAAGATCATACAGGAGTTGTCAGCATGAACACGCTAAAGATCATACAGGAGTTGTCAGCATGAACACGCTAAAGATCATACAAGAGTTGTCAGCATGAACACGCTAAAGATCATACAGGAGTTGTCAGCATAAACACACTAAAGATCATACAGGAGTTGTCAGCATAAACATGCATATCGGTCTCCGGCAATTGGTACTCAGTCATTCTCGTGGTTGGACCATCTCATCTGTTGTGTATGCAGTCATCAGTCCCTAGGGACCTCACAGCTGTGTCTCTGGTTTTGAAAACAGCATCCGCTGTGACTGTAAAGTCCTGTGTTAGAGTAGCAGTCTCTGCCACATGGATCACATACAAACGGTGATACTCTATTATACTGAAGCTGGTTGTCTCATATCTATAGCTTGCTGAGTTAGGCTTCTCACAAAGTGTAGCAGTCAGCCTTTAACTGTCTGCCTCCATAGGGGTCATAGTTAAGGCCTTTTGGAAGTATGTGTACAATTTAGAGCAGACATTTTATCATCATCCTTTTGTTAGAGTGATGCAGCGGGAGTGACGAGAGGATATGGCCGATACTTGACGTGATGCAGCGGGAGTGACGAGAGGATATGGCCGATACTCGACGTGATGCAGCGGGAGTGACGAGAGGATATGGCTGATACTTGACGTGATGCAGCGGGAGTGACGAGGGGATATGGCTGATACTTGACGTGATGCAGCGGGAGTGACGAGGGGATATGGCTGATACTTGACGTGATGCAGCGGGAGTGACGAGAGGATGTGGCTGATACTTGACGTGATGCAGCGGGAGTGACGAGGGGATATGGCTGATACTTGACGTGATGCAGCGGGAGTGACGAGAGGATATGGCTGATACTTGACGTGATGCAGCGGGAGTGACGAGAGGATATGGCTGATACTTGACGTGATGCAGCGGGAGTGATGAGGGGATGTGGCCGATACTTGACGTGATGCAGCGGGAGTGACGAGGGGATATGGCCGATACTTGACGTGATGCAGCGGGAGTGACGAGAGGATATGGCTGATACTTGACGTGATGCAGCGGGAGTGACGAGAGGATATGGCTGATACTTGACGTGATGCAGCGGGAGTGACGAGAGGATATGGCTGATACTTGACGTGATGCAGCGGGAGTGACGAGAGGATATGGATGATACTTGACGTGATGCAGCGGGAGTGACGAGAGGATATGGCTGATACTTGACGTGATGCAGCGGGAGTGACGAGGGGATATGGCCGATACTCGGCGTGATGCAGCGGGAGTGATGAGAGGATATGGCTGATACTTGACGTGATGCAGCGGGAGTGACGAGGGGATATGGCCGATACTCGACGTGATGCAGCGGGAGTGACAAGGGGATATGGGCGATACTCGACGTGATGCAGCGGGAGTGACGAAAGAATATGGCTGATACTCGACGTGATGCAGCGGGAGTGACGAGGGGATATGGCTGATACTCGACGTGATGCAGCGGGAGTGACAAGGGGATATGGCTGATACTCGGCGCTCAGAAGACAGGCAAGATGGACATATAATCAGACTGCTACTGACACCACTGGTAAAGTCTTCATTGGCTGCTGAATGTTGTATCACTGGCTACAGATGTACAGGTGTAAAGTTGTATGTTAGATATTGTTTTTCTTCTCTCCTTCCTATTCTTCTACTTCTTCTGCCTACTCCTCTCCTTTTTCAGCCTTAAATAGTATTGACTTAAATAAATGCAGTAGCACTTCCAGAGTTGTCAAAGATGACCTCTTTTTTTATCTGCAGCTTATCCGTGAGTGCAAGGAAGTGCTCAAGGGCGCCAGCCTGGTCAAACAGTACTACCACTACATGGTGGCAGCGGTTATGTGGGACGAGATGGAGGCCGAGGACAAGTTTGAGTCAGATCTCACAGAGTTTGATGAGGACATGAAGAGCATGTTGGACGTGAGTATCTTCTTTCCTTATAGAAACCTCCTTCGTAGAGATGTGTGGTGTTTGTTTGTGGTAGGTGCCCTCATCTCATTGGTGAGTTTTGATGAACAGGATGTTGTCTCATCTCTGTGAGTATTGTTGATCTTTCATTTTTTTATTACTAAAAAAAATTATTTCTCTATTCCTTTTTTCCATCCTTTCTTTGCATTTTCCTTCCTTCCTTGCTTTGTGTCATCCAGTCTTTCTTTCTATTCTTAACCCTCATCTATTTTAAGGTGCTTAGTTATAAAGTCTTACTATTTGGTATAATACCTGGGCATACACACATATGGAGCCCTTGCTTGTGCTCTAAACCTGGGCATACACACATATGGAGCCCTTGCTTGTGCTCTAAGCCCAGGCATACTCACATATGGAGCCCTTGCTTGTGCTCTAAACCTGGGCATACACACATATGGAGCCCTTGCTTGTGCTCTAAACCCAGGCATACACACATATGGAGCCCTTGCTTGTGCTCTAAACCTGGGCATACACACATATGGAGCCCTTGCTTGTGCTCAGAACCCGGGCATACACACATATGGAGCCCTTGCTTGTGCTCTAAACCTGTGCATACACACATATGGAGCCCTTGCTTGTGCTCTAAACCCGGGAATACTCACATATGGAGCCCTTGCTTGTGCTCTAAACCCGGGAATACTCACATATGGAGCCCTTGCTTGTGCTTAGAACCCGGGAATACTCACATATGGAGCCCTTACTTGTGCTCTAAACCTGGGCATACACACATATGGAGCCCTTACTTGTGCTCAGAACCCGGGCATACTCACATATGGAGCCCTTGCTTGTGCTCTAAGCCCAGGCATACTCACATATGGAGCCCTTGCTTGTGCTCTAAACCTGGGCATACACACATATGGAGCCCTTGCTTGTGCTCTAAACCCAGGCATACACACATATGGAGCCCTTGCTTGTGCTCTAAACCTGGGCATACACACATATGGAGCCCTTGCTTGTGCTCAGAACCCGGGCATACACACATATGGAGCCCTTGCTTGTGCTCTAAACCTGTGCATACACACATATGGAGCCCTTGCTTGTGCTCTAAACCCGGGAATACTCACATATGGAGCCCTTGCTTGTGCTCTAAACCCGGGAATACTCACATATGGAGCCCTTGCTTGTGCTTAGAACCCGGGAATACTCACATATGGAGCCCTTACTTGTGCTCTAAACCTGGGCATACACACATATGGAGCCCTTACTTGTGCTCAGAACCCGGGCATACTCACATATGGAGCCCTTGTTTGTGCTCTAAACCCGGGCATTCTCACATATGGAGCCCTTGCTTGTGCTCTAAACCTGGGCATTCTCACATATGGAGCCCTTGCTTGTGCTCGAACCTGGGCATACTCCCATATGGAGCCCTTGCTTGTGCTCAGAACCCAGGCATACTCACATATGGAGCCCTTGCTTGTGTTCAGAACCCGGGCATACTCACATATGGAGCCCTTGCTTGTGCTCAGAACCCGGGCATACTCACATATGGAGCCCTTGCTTGTGCTCTAAACCTGGGCATACTCTCATATGGAGCCCTTGCTTGTGCTCTAAACCCGGGCATACACACATATGGAGCCCTTGCTTGTGCTCTAAACCCGGGCATACTCACATATGGAGCCCTTGCTTGTGCTCTAAACCTGGGCATACTCCCATATGGAGCCCTTGCTTGTGCTCTAAACCTGGGCATACTCCCATATGGAGCCCTTGCTTGTGCTCAGAACCCAGGCATTCTCACATATGGAGCCCTTGCTTGTGTTCAGAACCCGGGCATACTCACATATGGAGCCCTTGCTTGTGCTCAGAACCCAGGCATTCTCACATATGGAGCCCTTGCTTGTGCTCTAAACCTGGGCATACTCACATATGGAGCCCTTGCTTGTGCTCAGAACCCAGGCATTCTCACATATGGAGCCCTTGCTTGTGCTCTAAACCCGGGCATACTCACATATGGAGCCCTTGCTTGTGCTCTAAACCTGGGCATACTCCCATATGGAGCCCTTGCTTGTGTTCAGAACCTGGGCATACTCACATATGGAGCCCTTGCTTGTGTTCAGAACCCAGGCATTCTCACATATGGAGCCCTTGCTTGTGCTCTAAACCCGGGCATACTCACATATGGAGCCCTTGCTTGTGCTCTAAAACCCGGGCATACTCACATATGGAGCCCTTGCTTGTGCTCTAAACCCGGGCATACTCACATATGGAGCCCTTGCTTGTGCTCTAAACCCGGGCATACTCACATATGGAGCCCTTGCTTGTGCTCTAAACCCGGGCATACTCACATATGGAGCCCTTGCTTGTGTTCAGAACCCAGGCATACTCACATATGGAGCCCTTGCTTGTGCTCTAAACCCGGGCATACTCACATATGGAGCCCTTGCTTGTGCTCTAAACCCGGGCATACTCACATATGGAGCCCTTGCTTGTGCTCTAAACCCGGGCATACTCACATATGGAGCCCTTGCTTGTGCTCTAAACCCGGGCATACTCACATATGGAGCCCTTGCTTGTGCTCTAAACGCGGGCATTCTCACATATGGAGCCCTTGCTTGTGCTCTAAACCCGGGCATTCTCACATATGGAGCCCTTGCTTGTGCTCGAACCTGGGCATACTCCCATATGGAGCCCTTGCTTGTGCTCAGAACCCGGGCATACTCACATATGGAGCCCTTGCTTGTGCTCAGAACCCAGGCATTCTCACATATGGAGCCCTTGCTTGTGCTCAGAACCCAGGCATTCTCACATATGGAGCCCTTGCTTTTGCTCAGAACCCAGGCATTCTCACATATGGAGCCCTTGCTTGTGTTCAGAACCCGGGCATACTCACATATGGAGCCCTTGCTTGTGCTCAGAACCCAGGCATTCTCACATATGGAGCCCTTGCTTGTGTTCAGAACCCGGGCATACTCACATATGGAGCCCTTGCTTGTGTTCAGAACCCAGGCATTCTCACATATGGAGCCCTTGCTTGTGTTCAGAACCCAGGCATTCTCACATATGGAGCCCTTGCTTGTGTTCAGAACCCAGGCATTCTCACATATGGAGCCCTTGCTTGTGTTCAGAACCCAGGCATTCTCACAAATGGAGCCCTTGCTTGTGCTCTAAACCCAGGCATACTCACATATGGAGCCCTTGCTTGTGCTCTAAACCCAGGCATACTCACATATGGAGCCCTTGCTTGTGTTCAGAACCCAGGCATACTCACATATGGAGCCCTTGCTTGTGCTCTAAACCTGGGCATTCTCACATATGGAGCCCTTGCTTGTGCTCTAAACCCAGGCATTCTCACATATGGAGCCCTTGCTTGTGCTCAGAACCCAGGCATACTCACATATGGAGCCCTTGCTTGTGCTCAGAACCCAGGCATTCTCACATATGGAGCCCTTGCTTGTGCTCAGAACCCAGGCATTCTCACATATGGAGCCCTTGCTTGTGCTTAGAACCCGGGCATTCTCACATATGGAGCCCTTACTGTAGAGGAACCCCTTGCTCGGAATGATTCTGTCTCCAGGTGACAGTTGGTGCAGATCAAGTTGACCCTCGTTCCTATACATTTTTTTCTGTGGTGCTTTCTAAAAGATGATCATTATCTTCTTTTCTTGGAAGGTGATTGACCGGTCTGATCGTGTTTCTTCTTTAGCAAACACATCTTCTCTTGTGTTCTAGGTACGACACGGTGAGATGTACATTGGATTACTACTCAGTTTATTTATCGTAAGGTAATGTGTGTTTGACTGTCATTGATACTTGATATATGAGCTGCTCTGTTTGTGGCACAGGTTTACTTCAACTACCTCCAGAGCTGGATTTACATGCTGCAGTCTCTGCCCGAAGCTTCCCTGGGCATGAAGAGTGCCCTGGAGGAGGAGTGGACCTTTACAAAGTCTATTTGTGCCTTTGTTGTTGGAGGAGAGGCAGAGGCAGGGAAGAAGTTCAGGTAAGGCTGAGACATTAGTGGGACCATTTGAGTAAAGATTGGGAGAATTTTAAATAAATATTTTTAAAGAGCTTTTATTGGGTATCAGAAAAACCTTAAAAAAAATGTCTAGAAAAATAATTAAAAAAAACAAAAACTGTAAGTTAAAGCTGAAATTGTATATAAAAATTGTGGCATAGCTTTGGATAAAGTAGGAGAGCTGCAGAACAATTATTTGAAAGATATTTTGAACTGATCTAGTCTTTTAGGGTCATTTCATTCTTTAATAACTTCATACTCATGAAATGTGCATTCTGGTGGAGACATGGAGGTGTGCCCAGAGAGCAGCGCAGTTAGTTCTTTTGATAATAAATCCATCATTTCTGTTACTGTAGCTCCCTGGCCAGCAGTCTGCTCAACTCTATTGGTGATTTCCTGGACAACGGTATCGATGACAACACTCGCAGTCTCTACGATGATGAATATGTCAGTGATTTTGCTGACGGGGAGGAAGGCACAGGCAGTGAGCAGGATTCTGAGGCTGACAGCGATAACACTGAGGACAGAATTCAGTGCAAGAGAATGGCTAAAATGAAGTGAGTACAGTCAAGTTTTGCTCTGTCTTTGTATGTATGTCTGTAAATGTGTGTGTGGGGGTGGATGTATTGGAAACACCCAACCTTGCATGTGTGTCACAAGATACTGTAGAGGAATGGAAGCACCCAACCTTGCATGTGTGTCACAAGATACTGTAGAGGAATGGAAGCACCCAACCTTGCATGTGTGTCACAAGATACTGTAGAGGAATGGAAGCACCCAACCTTGCATGTGTGTCACAAGATACTGTAGAGGAATGGAAGCACCCAACCTTGCATGTGTGTCACAAGATACTGTAGAGGAATGGAAACACCCAACCTTGCATGTGTGTCACAATATACTGTAGAGGCATGGAAACATCCAACCTTGCATGTGTGTCACAAGATACTGTAGAGGCATGGAAACATCCAACCTTGCATGTGTGTCACAAGATACTGTAGAGGCATGGAAACATCCAACCTTGCATGTGTGTCACAAGATACTGTAGAGGCATGGAAACATCCAACCTTGCATGTGTGTCACAAGATCCTGTAGAGGAACCCCTTAGCTTAGGTCAACAACTTGGTATCCTCTCATGTAGGTTCCAGGACTCCAATTCGCAGGGGAAAAAGAAAACACCGACTACCCCATAACAAGCATGTCATAAAAAGCAACTCATTAGGTGGCCCTATCTCTGAACCAACAGGTTCTGGCACCTGTCTACTGAATGATGGGGATGCTTTTTACAGACCTAACTGTTAACTTGACATCTTGATGTTGCTTCATATTTGTATGTCCTGTGTTTCAGACAAAATGTGCAAGGTATTCTCCGTAACTTCAGAAATTTATTCAATGAAGCTCGGGAGAGAGCATCCAAGGCTCTTGGCTTTGCAAAGTTACTCAGAAAGGTATGTTACTGTTGTAGAACTATCAGTTACAGCTGCTGAGTTACTCAGAAAGGTATGTTACTGTTGTAGAACTATCAGTTACAGCTGCTGAGTTACTCAGAAAGGTATGTTACTGTTGTAGAACTATCAGTTACAGCTGCTGAGTTACTCAGAAAGGTATGTTACTGTTGTAGAACAATCAGTTACAGCTGCTCAGTTACTCAGAAAGGTATGTTACTGTTGTAGAACTAATATTTACAGCTGCTGAGTTACTCAGAAAGGTATGTTGCTGTTGTAGAACTAATATTTACAGCTGCTCAGTTACTCAGAAAGGTATGTTGCTGTTGTAGAACTAATAGTTACAGCTGCTCAGTTACTCAGAAAGGTATGTTACTGTTGTAGAACTAATATTTACAGCTGCTCAGTTACTCAGAAAGGTATGTTACTGTTGTAGAACTAATATTTACAGCTGCTCAGTTACTCAGAAAGGTATGTTGCTGTTGTAGAACTAATAGTTACAGCTGCTCAGTTACTCAGAAAGGTATGTTGCTGTTGTAGAACTAATAGTTACAGCTGCTCAGTTACTCAGAAAGGTATGTTACTGTTGTAGAACTAATAGTTACAGCTGCTCAGTTACTCAGAAAGGTATGTTGCTGTTGTAGAACTATCATTTACAGCTGCTCAGTTATTCAGAAAGTTATGTTGCTGTTGTAGAACTATCATTTACAGCTGCTCAGTTATTCAGAAAGGTATGTTGCTGTTTTAAACTATCAGTTATCATTGCTCAGTTACTCAGAAAGGTATGTTGTATGTGTACAGTTTAAGGATTCATGAACTGGAGAGCATAGTTGATGGCTTGTTTTTGCCCAAGATGCTGCCTCTAGGGGGGCAGTGAAGAGAGATCTTGTCCAGCATACAGCAGACCTTGGTGCATCGTGCCTCTGAATGCCCTCTGGTGGATGTACTGGCTTTTACGATTGTGTTTGGTAGAAGCTTTCATTGATTGTTGATTGGTTGGAAGAATGAGCTTTAACTCTTGAGTCTGAAGTGCTGATGTTGAGGTTTCTCGACCCTGAAAAGTTATGATCTCTTTGATATTAAAACTTTGAGAATTTCTTCTTTTCCATTACCAAAGTTCTATCTTTACTGGCACTGGGCTGTAGAGTTCTTCCCCTTTCCAAAAGGACGTATGGAAGAAGAAAATTCACTGGGAAGTAAAGGCGACCAGTGTAATATTAACCGTATACCTGTCAGGAGACGAATGGTCTGTAAACATGAGGCCAGAGCTGTGTATAGAATACACTTCATGGTAGGGAGAAGAGTCGGGGGGGGGGGGGGGCATCTTTAATCGGACTCTTACTGACAGAGTACCTGTGTACCTGTAGAGTTTGGAGTAGAAGATGAAGACAGTCAATGGCCCTTTTTATACCAGAGACACACAGCGTAAATGATGCTAGAGTCATATTTGTTGAGACCAGTTAGCTATCAGTGGATAATGTAGTTACCATGACACCTGCCACCTTTACTGCCCAAGGCATTACCTGGTGCCAGTTTAAGGTTGGATTGACCAGGGAGCCAAGGTCAGATATGAATAAAGTCTTACTTGATGCTGATGTGAACCCAAGATCTTTGAATCAGCAGGTGAGCGAGACTAGCCGCTGCACAACCTGAGCTGCCTAAAAGAGGATGTGGTCAGAAAATAAGAGAGAAGGAGAGTGAAGACTGTGGCCTATATATATGTGTGTGCATGATGTTGATCTACACCTGTGTAGGTTATATATTTGTATTGGTTCTCCCTTCCCAGGATTTGGAAATTGCTGCAGACTTTAATATTGCGGTTACCACCAAAGATCTCTTCACTCGACTTATGGAGACTCGGCATGTTCAGGTATGTGGTTGTGTGTGAGTGGGAGACAGAGACAACGAGAGAGAATGAGAGAGATAATCTTTTTTCTTTACTTTTACTGGCTGTAAACTCTGTCAAGGTTAGAGGGGTGTGCTGCTGTACTTTGGTATTCTCACAACATTCTGAGATATGTGTTAATTCTTATTCAGTCAGTAGCGGCCGTCGAAATTGCGTACTCGCTCAAAAGCAGTAATAGTGTTTGTTGGTGTATATATGAGAGCCATCTACATTTTCTGTAAAAAATGAGTTCATTGCAGAGGGTAGCGTTGCGTGTCTGCAGCGACAGAGCGTTGTGTGTGTTGTGTGAAGAAGTCTGAAAAACAACACGTAGAATGCACTGTCTCATTAGACCTAGGTTCAGTGCGTCGGGAACCGGGGTTCAGGGTTAGGGCCAGTTGTACATGTTATGTGGTCGTTAAAGGCATGCTCTAATATAGAGCACACATCGTCATCTGTAGGAGCGTCGACTGAGCTGAGACCCCTGCCACTTATCCCTTGCGTGTCTCAAAAGCTGAACGTCCAATCACTGTGTCCTGAAAAGTGTCATGACTGCACTCCCATCAATCATAAGTGTGTAGGTGGGTGGAGCTGACCCTGATGGGCCCGTAAACGTGAGATGTACCCAATACCCAAACGTTAAACAAAATAACTTTAGCTAGTTAAAACTTACTCTTAAACATTTTTAACAATTTTGTTTTTAATGCTTAAACATTAAACAGATTAACTAGTTTAACCTTACTGTTATACACTTTAAACAGTTTTGTTTTCAATACTTAAACGTTAAACATATTCATTTTAACTAGTTCATTCTTACTCTGATACACTTTAAACAGTTTTATTTTCAATACCCAACATTAAACAGATTCATTTTAACTAGCTCAACCTTACTCTGATACACTTTAAACAGTTTTATTTTCAATACCCAACATTAAACAGATTCATTTTAACTAGCTCAACCTTACTCTGATACACTTTAAACAGTTTTGTTTTCAATACCCAACATTAAACAGATTCATTTTAACTAGCTCAACCTTACTCTGATACACTTTATACAGTTTTATTTTCAATACCCAACATTAAACAGTTTCATTTTAACTAGCTCAACCTTACTCTGAAATACTTTAAACAGTTTTGTTTTCAATACCCAACATTAAACAGATTCATTTTAACTAGCTCAACCTTACTCTGATACACTTTAAACAGTTTTATTTTCAATACCCAACATTAAACAGTTTCATTTTAACTAGCTCAACCTTACTCTGAAATACTTTAAACAGTTTTGTTTTCAATACCCAACATTAAACAGATTCATTTTAACTAGATACAATGATTCACAAAAACTGAATAAATCTAACTGAAATGCAAATATTTTATTTCGACGCATCATGGTGTGTTTAGTCGCCGGAGGTACTCCATAGTCACGTGACTACTAGGGTCATTTCAGATTTACTATAAATTCCGCCTACTTACAGAGGAGAGGGTTGTTGATTTTAATTGTTAAAGCTTCAGCCATTCTCAGCAGTCAGTTACCAGGTGATAGGTTACTCATATGTGGATATTTCAGCGGGAGGAACAGAGAATGGGACAGCAGCGGAGAAAACCGTAGGGAATTGCTCTTGCAGAGGCCATGGTTGACTTTGATATGGTCTGCATCAATGATGGGTGGCCGACTAGAATGGCAATGAGGTCTGGAGATGCAGACACAGCTATTGACTTGACATTTGTCTCCCAGTCGTTGGTTTTAGATGTTTAATGGACTGTCCTAAATGACCATGGGAGTGATCACCTACCATGTTAGGTCCTGATTTCTAAACACAGTAAGGTTAAGGCTGGGAGAGCATGCAATACCTTCCGGTATAAGTGGACCAACAACCTACTTGGACGCCTCAGACAGGGAGCATGCAACAGAACTGCCAGAACTAATTTTCTACAGCCCCCATGGTGGACTCCAGAAGTAGAACAGGTGTGGTAGGCAAAGGGGGCCACAGTGAAGCAGCTAAAGAAAGTACAACAGACACCCTCAAGCTCACGAGAGGAAGTGGAAAAGGTGGAGAATGTGAAAAAAGATAAAGTGGATGCTTTCAAGCGCTGTGCAGCAGAGGCCAAAAAAGCAAAATGGGAAACTTTTGTCAATTATATGGGGGGCAATAAAACATTGGGGAAGTTCTGGAAACTGCAAAGGAAGATGCAAAGAAAAGATCGGCCTATGACAGTCAGAACAATTTGTAGAGACGATGGTGTGCGTGTGGCAACAGACAAGGAGAAAGGGGAGGCTTTTTTCCATAGGTTTATATCTCAGACAGATCATAATGATGTAGACATCAGGGAGGCATTAAAGAAAGAAGTTAGCTGGCACCTTAAAGAATGTGCATTATTAAAACATGATACAAGTAGAAGATATCAAACAGATTTTGAAAAAAGGAAAAAGTCACTGCACCAGGGCCTGATGGAGTCAGGTCTGGCCACATGAAGGCTTTGAGTGATGTAGACCTGGCAGAGATGGCCGACTGTTTTAACCAGAGCATTAAGACAGCATCAGTACCACAGGACTGGGTGCACAACTATCTAATCCCACTACCAAAACCTTTTAAGGATCATTCAAAGCTCAATGGCTTTAGAATCATCACCTTACAAAACACATTTGGGAAGGTCTTGGAGAAGATAGGTGCTGTAAAGCTACAAGAGTTTTTGGAAAGGGGGAAGCTTCTCCCAAGAGGTCTGGGAAGTTACAGGCCAGGAATGGACACTTGGGCAAATGCAGCCACTTTTGTTTTTGACGTCTATGAAGGGTTCCAGAACAGACAGGAAACTATGGCGGTAGGACTGGATCTCGAGGATGCTTATAACAGAGTGAGATACGACATTTTAATGTCTGCCCTGAAGGAGAAGGAGGTCAGTCCATGGCTGGTGAATTGGGTTGCAGCTGTCCTGTATTCACGTCGAGTTGCTCTCCGACTGGACTCATGGACCTCAGAATCATGCACTTTGGCTCCAGGACTGCCACAGGGATCCGCCATCTCGCCTGTGCTCTTTAACGTGTATACGAGCAAGATTGCAAGCCTAGAAGCACCAGGAGTTGGAAGGATACTGACTTTTGCGGATGATATACTTGCATTTAGGCAGGGGGAAGAGGGGGAAAAAACAGCCCGGGATCTGCAAGCGACAGTAGACAAAGTGACTGAGTGGTGTACAGAAATTAGGGCTGTCGTCTACCCAGAAAAGGCGTCTGTTTTGTGGTGTTCTCTAGACAACAGAATCATTAAAGCTAGTGTCCCAAGTCTCACGATATATGGTAGAAACGTCAACAGAGAGAGCAAACTGAAGTATCTGGGAATTACATTTGACAGGAGCCTGTCCTTTAAGGACCATGTGGAGATTGTCGTGACAAGATGCAAAAAAGGACTTAGACTTAGTGCACTTAAGACTATGGCTGCAATTGACATAGAGCAGAGAATGCTTTTCACACTATATCAGCACCTGATCCTGTCAGTGTTTTTTATGGCCTGGGACTGCTTACCGTCTCAAAGAGTCAGGTGGACAAACTGGAGCACATACAGAACGCAGCTATATGGGCCATTCTAGGTTGCACCAGAGACACCCCAGTGGTGTGTATGCGACACATCCTTTGTTTGCTGACTGTTGCAGGTAGGCACAAGGTGCTGCAGGCGAAGTCATATCCCAGGTAGCTGCACACAGATCACCCTTTGCACGCCGGTGTGTTGGGAAATGAACAGGCGGACAGACTGGCTGGCACTGCACAATTTAGTGGAATACTGATACATGATAAGGCAGACGTGGTTAGTGCCTTGTAGGAGAGCGTGTACAGTTCGGAGGAGAAGATGGATCACCACAGTCTGGTGAGATTGATGCAGGGAGGGGGGGGGGGAGTGACGAGAGTTTCTGGCAGATGCTCGAGGTGATGTTTAATCAGAATGCTACTGGCACCATTGGTATCGGAACTCTTCGCTGGCTGCTGAAGATGGAAACGGAGCGCTTATGGGAATGCCTTGAGTGCTGTGATGTCGGTTCTTGAATTGAGTCAATTAATCAGCAGTCTCCTGTTCGGAGTGTGATAAACCACATGAAAAGCACTGTTTGTGTAAATTACATGTCCGGAATTAAGCAGATAACGACCTATGGGCGAAGTGGATTGTTTCTTTAAATAGTTAAACCTTTAATAATTCAGCTTTATCAATTTTCAGGTGAAGGTGCCGTTGAGCTCAGGGTACATGATGTTCATTCCAGAAAAGATCATCTCCAACAAGCAGTTGATCCTGCAGCTGCTGAATGTCACGTCGGGCCGGGAGGACATGACAGAAACCACCAACAAGGAGGAGGGTTACCTGCTGATGTTGAGGTGTGAGAGCGGCATTGACCACATCAAAGAGTGTCCTCGCTGGACTGGCTTTGTGGTGCATGTGGAGCCCACTGCCGAGACAGCCATTGCCCTGTCTCATATAGAGGTTTGTCTTATGTAGATGTTTGTTTCTTATTGGGACGTATGGCGCATTTAGAGTTTTTCCCTTAAATATTGTCTATTGTGGTTTGTTTTTCTCTTTAGGATTGTATTCCATGGAATTAACATCTAATGGATGAGAATCAAATCCGAGCTTTTTTAAAAGTCAGGCTGAATCAGGAGCTGAACTCATGAGTCGGAGTTTATCTGCCTGATCTGCAGAGGTCTAGCTGCTACACCCTAGTTCCTTCCCATGGATTGTAAACAATAATAATAAATAGTAAAATAATGTGTTTATCTTTTGCAGTGGAAAGTGTCAGCGGTGATTTACTGAGGAGAGTTTAAAAAAAAAATAATAATCTAAACTTTTCATTGTACAATTTGTTTACATGAAGCTAGGGTTTCAGTATGCACATTATTTGTCTACGTAATCTCCCTCCGTGTCAATGCACTTTGCCCAGCGGTCAACAAGCTTATGTATTCCTTCCAAAAAAATGTTACCATTGCCCACCGTATAGACAGTTTCTAACGTGTAACATAGTTTCTAACATGTAACATAGACAGTTTCTAAGATGTAACAGACAGTTTCTAACATGTAACATAGACAGTTTCAAATGTGTAACATAGACAGTTTCTAACGTGTAACATAGACAGCTTCTAATGTGTAACATAGACAGTTTCTAACAGGTAACATAGACAGTTTCTAACATGTAACATAGACAGTTTTTAAGGTGTAACATAGACAGTTTCTAAGGTGTAACATAGACAGTTTCTAATGTGTAACATAAACAGTTTCTAACATGTAACATAGACAGTTTCTAACATGAAACATAGACAGTTTCAAGGTGTAACATAGACAGTTTCTAACATGTAACATACACAGTTTCTAACGTGTAACATAGACATAGTTTCTAACGTGTAACATGGCCAGTTTCTAACATGTAACATAGACAGTTTCTAACATGTAACATAGACAGTTTCTAACGTGTAACATAGACAGCTTCTAATGTGTAACATAGACAGTTTCTAACATGTAACAAAGACAGTTTATAACATGTAACATAGACAGTTTCTAACATGAAACATAGACAGTTTCTAACATGAAACATAGACAGTTTCTAACATGTAACATAGATAGTTTCTAACATGTAACATAGACAGTTTCTAAGGTGTAACATAGACAGTTTCTAACGTGTAGCATAGACAGTTTCTAACGTGTAACATAGAGAGTTTCTAACATGTAACATAGACAGTTTCTAACATGTAACATAGACAGTTTCTAACATGAAACATAGACAGTTTCTAACATGTAACATAGACAGTTTCTAACATGTAACAAAGACAGTTTATAACGTGTAACATAGACAGTTTCTAACATGTAACATAGACAGTTTCTAACATGAAACATAGACAGTTTCTAACATGTAACATAGACAGTTTCAAGGTGTAACATAGACAGTTTCTAACATGTAACATAGACAGTTTCTAAGGTGTAACATAGACAGTTTCTAACATGTAGCATAGACAGTTTCTAATGTGTAACATAGACAGTTTCTAACATGTAACATAGACAGTTTCTAACATGTAACATAGACAGTTTCTAACGTATAACATAGACAGTTTCTAAGGTGTAACATAGACAGTTTTTAAGGTGTAACATAGACAGTTTCTAAGGTGTAACATAGACAGTTTCTAAGGTGTAACATTTACAGTTTCTAATGTGTAACATAGACAGTTTCCTAGGTGTAACACCACATTGGCTGTGTCGGCTGTTGAACCATGTGTATCTTGTGTCTCTTCAGGTAATGGGGTTTTTGTTTGTGGTGACCCACTCCGGGGCCCTGACCCACCAGAGGAAGTATTTTGAGAGCATCATGGGTAAGACGGTCCAGCTGGTCAATGAGCAGACATCCTGTCATCAGTCAATAGCCGAGTCCTTGTCTGAGCTCAAGGTAACCTCCATGTGCTGGCTTCTCACTGCTGTTTTATGGTGCTGTTTTCTGCAGCGAGAATGTCATATGTTGTTGTTTTCTGCACCGAGAATGTCATATGTTGTTGTTTTCTGCAACGAGCATGTCATATATTGTTGTTTTCAGCAGTGACAATGTCATATGTTGCTGCTTTTCAGCGGTGAGAATGTCAAATATTGCTGTTTACAGCATTGAGAATGTCATGTTGTTGTTTATGGCATTGACAGTGTCATGTTGTATTCAGCATTGGCCATGTCAGGTATTGCTGCTGCTTGCCTCATGCTCTGAAGGTTGTAGGTTCATTTCACGAACACATCATTCAGTTCACAGTGCAGTTTTTACTGAGATCCCTATGGACCGTCACTAGCCTTGTGTCTTGTGGATAAGTATTGGTGATCACCAGAGTTTCGGGCCAGGTCAAGTGATATGACCAAACCATCCAGGTACTTTGGCAAGATGAAGAGAAATATTTCTTATTGAAGGGCTTGATGGAAGGAAAAGTGGAGGAGAATCATGCAAGAGGAAAACAGTGGTAGGTGTAGATGATCACAGCAAGGGGTGGACTGGAGGGAAGACTGGGAGAGAGAGAGAGAGAGAGAGAGATTACAATGGTCCTTCTGTGTAGAGCTGCTGCCTAATGATGATGATTCAAGTTTTCTTATATGATCACCATTAAAAAATAATGGGGCAGGGAATGACATGTGTTGTGACTTACAGCTAGGCTGCAGTATCTAATCTTTCGGCCCAGTACATCCACTTTTTGCAACTCCCTAATTCTTCTTTTTTTCTTATCTCACTGCCACCAGGGTGTATCCCGCTGTTATGGATTTCTTTGTCTTCAGCTTCTCAGGCAGCTCGAGTGATGGATTTGTGTCATCTTTTTTGTAGGTTTCAGTTACACCATTTATCCCTGTCTTTCTTGGTCTCCCCCCCCCCCCCCCCCCCCCCCCCCCCCCCCTCACTTTCTTCCTAGATATTCTGCTGTGAAAACTCTCATATGCAGTTTGGTTTGGCTGCATTCTCACTAGATGGTAGAACCATGTCATTCTTTGTCTTGTCAGTATAATTCAAACATGATCTTATTCAACCTTCAGGCTAGAATTCCTCCCTCCTTCGAAGTCAGAGTTTATCTGCCTGAGAGGCAAGGAACCAACGATCTGCGCACAAATGTGTCAGATCTGTTAAACGGATACACACGCAACACTCAGGTTCTGGATCAGGACCGCAGTCCAGATGTGGACGAACAACCATAACTTTTCACCAGAATTTACAGCTGGTGAGCGCAAAGAAGAAGAAGGCTAAAATCACAGGACTATTCCCGCATGAGTGTGTGTGCTGAGTGACTCTTTGAGCATCGTCCAGCGGGTCAAGGCAGGCTGGTTACACAGACAGTGGTTTGAGTCATTGCAAAACTCTCCTGTGTGTGTGCTGAGTGATTCTTTGAGCATGATCTGGCGGGTCAAGGCAGGCTGGTTACGCAGACAGTGGTCTGAGTCATTGCAAAACTCTCCTGTTTGTGCAGTTACCTTCATTTTCGTCCCAGGGCATGCAGGCATTATTGGTAATGAAAGAGCTGATAGACTGGCAGGTGTTGCATTAATTAAGGATGGCAGGCTCGTGGATCACGCAGACATTGTCATTGCCCTTAGAGAGATAGGATGTTCTGAGGATTTTGGAAATAACATGTCCACATCACTGCTAAGAATCTCCCGTGTGGGTTCCGGGGCCCCATTGTGGGGAAAACAAGAATGGACCCACTGCCTCCGCAAAAGCATGTTGTAAGAGTCAACTAATTGGGGAGCTTCCTTTGAAGTCGGAGTGCATCTGCCAGAGAAGCAAGGAACCAACAGTCTGTATTCAAGATAATGAGATCTGTAAAACGGATGCACACGCAACACTCAGGTTCTGGAGCAGGACTGCAGTTCACGAGCAACCAGAACTTTCCGCCAGAGTATACAGCTGGTGAACGCGAAGAAGAAGAAGACTGCTAAGAATTTTGAATTAGGAGTAAAGATCGGCACAGCCAAGCATGAGAAGCACACCTGACGCACATAAAGTCTTGTCCACCAGCATAGGACTGGCACTATTAACTGCACAACGCTGATCAATATTTTGAGAGGGGAATCTGAGCTCCTATGGATGTGTCCGGAGTGTTATAAAGATAATCTAACTCATAACTGATTCAACCTTTAATGCTAGTAAACCCCAATTACTCACCTTTTAGGACATGCGTGTTAGGGAAGCAGTGGGGCTGTTGTTTTTTACACCCCCAGATGGGAGCCTGGAAACCACATGGAGATGATCCAGGTTTTAATATCTTTGTTTTTCCCCTGCCCTTTCCCCACTATTGTTTTTAAGTCTATATCTACAAATAACATGCTGACACAGTTTGCACTGTCTGCTGGACTCTAGGCCAATGCTGTAGAGCTGATGGTGAAGATCTCACAAGCCATTCAACAAGTCAATGAGAAGCTTAACGTCAATGAAGTCATTCTGACTGAGGAGAGCATCCTGAAACTCTACAGGGAGACCATGCTGAAGATATATGACTTTGGATTTGAGGTGGGTCCAGTGCTCTTACTCACTTGTCATTTATACACGACCGAATAAGGACAAGGCATCACAGGGAGCCGCTGTGGTGCAGCAGCTAAACGTTTGCCTGCAGATTTGGAGGTCAGGGGCTCAGGTCCTGGTGGAACCATCAGTTTGTTGTTTAAATGGTTTTGGCTCTCAGATGGACCCAGCTTTAGATAGCTATAGGTAGAGTCCTGGGAAGTCAAGGTGGCCGCCACAAAACGCCGATTGGTCTGTATAATAAAGATCTAGTCCTCTGCCAAATACCCCTGAAGGCACAGAAAAAGGGGTCCTTTACTAGTTTGCTGTGGGTTTTCCCGAAATGGTCGGTGCTGATACCAGTCTGGACATCAACACAGTGGGGTCTGCTGCCATTTGCCTGCAGCTGAATAACCCAGTATATCAGAATTATGAAACCCTAAGACACAAGACACTGACTTAAAAAAGTTCAGTAAAAGTATGTGCACATCCAAGATGATAATTTGATGACCATCATCATCATTAGGTGTGGCAGTTGTTTGCAGAACTCTGCTCTCGACATAGCCTGACAACACAGTTCTATCCTTTGCCGTTCCCCCTGTTTCATGCAGTGTCATGTCTAGGATATCTGAATTCCCTTGGGGCTTCATGGGGGTGGGGGGGGGGGGAGACCCAGCTTTTCTAAAAAGCGTGTTGTTTAAAAAAAAAAAAAAAAAAAAGAGACCACTAATTAAGGGATTGCGGTATTTGGCCAAAAGTTTCAGATACTATAGCCCAGCTTTAAACCACAACACACTGTGCCAGCCACTCTTTTAAAGATCAACATAAATGAAGAAGAAGATGGATCTCTGAAACGCCCATTGTTGTGTTGGTTAGCCTCTACATCACGAAGAGAACAAGATTATGAGAATAAATCAAATACTTGAATTTTCCTTGGTGAAAAATCCATTCCAAGGGGTAGAACGATAGACATCCTTGGGTAGCCGTGTAGACATGTCATAGAAGACTAAGTGGATGTTAAAATAAGAATACAGAAGCTAAGATGAGCTTTCATAGCAGTCAGAAACCTGTGAGATTGAAGAGATATTTTCCCCAAGTTGGTTCCAGAGACTGACAGTGAGGATGGCCAGAGCATATTCAATGGGGGAATGCATACAAATTGTAAAGAATGCATACAAATAAGCTGGATCTGTCAAATGGATGTGAATGCAAAACAAAAGTTTTGGAACAAGACCAAAGTGCAGAAGTGGAAAACAACGAGAACTTCACACTGGAGTTTACTGCCAGTAAATGTAAAGAAGAAGAAGAAGAGAAAATTGGACCAATCTCATGACTAAACCACTAAGATGACAAACATTACATTCATTAGCTGCCGGAACCTACACATGATTAAAGAAATGTAATCGTTTGACAGAATCACTAATGAACATCTGTGGAAGAGCGAACAAATGAACTTTGTTTTCAAAGGGTCACATATTGGGCAGGCAGGCCTGTCTTACATTCGGCCCTTCCAAACACCTACCTTTCACACTGCAGCTGTATTTTATCAATGAGCATGTAATATTCATATGATAATATGCATATTATGAATATCATAAAAAGAAAAAAAACACAAAAGCATGGGTGGTAAAGTGCATGCATACACTAGCGCGCGCACACACACACACACACACACACACACACACACACACACATCTGGGAGAAAAAGCCAGTCTGAGCACGTCCAGAAGCGAGGAAAGGACTGGCAATGGATAGGACACACATTGAGAAAAAGTTGTTATTAGCTTAACTAATATGCCCTTTCAGTGGAACCCACAGAGGAATAATGAGGACTTTTAAACATGACTAGAAACAAACATTAGAGACAGATGGAAAAAAATATAGGAAGGACATGGAGGGATTTACAGGAGATAACAAAAGACAGGAGAGGACATCTTGGTGTCAGCTGGGCCTGTGTTCCAGTGGGTGATATCAAGCAAAATAAGAGTAGCATACATGGAGTCTATTGAAAAAAGAAAAACCCACTTGCAACTGCAGATTGAGCTCCCTTGAACTCACAGAGGTGCCTGAGCCACTCTGACCTTTGTGTACTGACAGCAACAGCTCACAGTTTCCCTAGAGTTGATTACAGCCACTATAGTTGACTGTAGTTAGAAATGTGAACATTCCAGTGCTTGTACTGAATATTGTGATGCTATTGATCATGTTTACTATTACTTGATGTATGGCTGAACTGATGAAAGAAAAGAGAGAGACCTCAAAAGGCAGAATGTTAGACAGGCCTGCATGCGAAATTCCTAACCCTTTAAAAATAAAGTTTGTTTGTCTGTTCGTACTCTTCGCACCTTTCAGTCTTCCTAGAGGACAGTGTGGTACTGTGTTATATAGAGGCAAAGCAATCACAGCCCATTGTAAGGCCAGGGATGAAATTCCTCCTCTTCTCAGCACAAAGCCTAGGCCATATTATAGAGACCATGTGTTGCAGCACGACCCTTTTCTCATCCTACCTTGTTTACTGCTGAGGAAAGGTAACACCAGTATATATGGAACATTACATGCTGCAGGACCGGAAGATCAGTATTGGAGCTCCCCGTGTGAGTTCTAGGGCTCTATTATGGGGGGAAAAACAAGAATAGACCCACTGCCTACCCAAAAGCATATCGTAAGAGTCAACTAATTGGGAGCTTCCTTTGAATTCGGAGTGCATCTGCCTGAGAGGCAAAGAACCAGCAGTATGCATACAAATGAGTCAGATCTGTAAAACGGATTCACACGCGACACTTAAGTTCTGGAACATGACTGCAGTCCGAAAGTGGATGAACAACCAGAACTTCCGCCAGAGTTTACAGCTGGTGAACATGAAGAAGAAGAAGAAGTATTGCAGCTATCCTTGCATGTTACTATAGATATGTTTCACAGGCACCACATGGTGCTAGATGGTGTGATCCTAGGTGTGTGTTTTTCTGTCTCAGTATCAGCGTGAGTTGATGCGTTTGGTGTCCAGGGACCAGAGGCAGAAGATGTGTCACATGACAGTGTCCTTTGCCAAGGATTGGATGAACTTTGTCATCAGCAAATGTGAGAGAGGTCGAGGAACTAGGCCAAGGTCAGGGCTGTAGTGTCACTAAGTTTGTCTTAATGTTTTCTGCTATGGAATGCCTGTTACTGTTTATATATGACGACTATAAATGTCATTAAATATTTTTCAAGTTTTATAAAAGTATAAATGTTCTGTAAGTTATGATGAAATGAAAGATGAATGGAATTGTATACCTAACTTCATAATGCAAGGGCTGAAGACATGATATTGTAACATAGCATCTCGAATTAATGCTTAGTTATCTAGTTAGTTAGTTGACAAAAGCTTACAGGAATATCATGCAAACTGTGATGTCAGTTCCTGACTCAGCTGAGCCATGTTGCTTGATTACTGGCATATTATCACTAGTCAAGAATTGTTCAGGTGAGAAAAGTGAACAACTCCTGTCCGCAGCTTTCTGCAACCACAACATCAGCTGTTCTTATCCTCTCATTGAAACAGCGGTTGTTGCATGTCATGTTTCTGCCTGTATCCTCTCATTGAGACAGGGGTTGTTGCATGTCATGTTTCTGCCTGTATCCTCTCATTGAGACAGCGGTTGTTGCATGTCATGTTTCTGCCTGTATCCTCTCATTGAGACAGCGGTTGTTGCATGTCATGTTTCTGCCTGTATCCTGTCATTGAGACAGCGGTTGTTGCATGTCATGTTTCTGCCTGTATCCTGTCATTGAGACAGCGGTTGTTGCATGTCATGTTTCTGCCTGTATCCTCTCATTGAGACAGGGGTTGTTGCATGTCATGTTTCTGCCTGTATCCTCTCATTGAGACAGCGGTTGTTGCATGTCATGTTTCTGCCTGTATCCTCTCATTGAGACAGCGGTTGTTGCATGTCATGTTTCTGCCTGTATCCTCTCATTGAGACAGGGGTTGTTGCATGTCATGTTTCTGCCTGTATCCTCTCATTGAGACAGCGGTTGTTGCATGTCATGTTTCTGCCTGTATCCTCTCATTGAGACAGGGTTTGTTGCATGTCATGTTTCTGCCTGTATCCTGTCATTGAGACAGCGGTTGTTGCATGTCATGTTTCTGCCTGTATCCTGTCATTGAGACAGCGGTTGTTGCATGTCATGTTTCTGCCTGTATCCTCTCATTGAGACAGGGGTTGTTGCATGTCATGTTTCTGCCTGTATCCTCTCATTGAGACAGCGGTTGTTGCATGTCATGTTTCTGCCTGTATCCTCTCATTGAGACAGCGGTTGTTGCATGTCATGTTTCTGCCTGTATCCTCTCATTGAGACAGGGGTTGTTGCATGTCATGTTTCTGCCTGTATCCTCTCATTGAGACAGGGGTTGTTGCATGTCATGTTTCTGCCTGTATCCTGTCATTGAGACAGCGGTTGTTGCATGTCATGTTTCTGCCTGTATCCTGTCATTGAGCCAGCGGTTGTTGCATGTCATGTTTCTGCCTGTATCCTCTCATTGAGACAGGGGTTGTTGCATGTCATGTTTCTGCCTGTATCCTCTCATTGAGACAGCGGTTGTTGCATGTCATGTTTCTGCCTGTATCCTGTCATTGAGACAGCGGTTGTTGCATGTCATGTTTCTGCCTGTATCCTCTCATTGAGACAGGGGTTGTTGCATGTCATGTTTCTGCCTGTATCCTCTCATTGAGACAGGGGTTGTTGCATGTCATGTTTCTGCCTGTATCCTCTCATTGAGACAGCGGTTGTTGCATGTCATGTTTCTGCCTGTATCCTCTCATTGAGACAGCGGTTGTTGCATGTCATGTTTCTGCCTGTATCCTCTCATTGAGACAGCGGTTGTTGCATGTCATGTTTCTGCCTGTATTCTCTCATTGAGACAGCGGTTGTTGCATGTCATGTTTCTGCCTGTATCCTCTCATTGACACAGGGGTTGTTGCATGTCATGTTTCTGCCTGTATCCTCTCATTGAGACAGGGGTTGTTGCATGTCATGTTTCTGCCTGTATCCTCTCATTGAGACAGGGGTTGTTGCATGTCATGTTTCTGCCTGTATCCTCTCATTGAGACAGCGGTTGTTGCATGTCATGTTTCTGCCTGTATCCTCTCATTGAGACAGCGGTTGTTGCATGTCATGTTTCTGCCTGTATCCTCTCATTGAGACAGCGGTTGTTGCATGTCATGTTTCTGCCTGTATCCTCTCATTGAAACAGGGGTTGTTACATGTTATGTTTCTGCCTGTATGAGTTCCAGAACCCCATTCTGGAGGGAACAAGAATGGACCCACTTCTCTCTAACAAGCATGTCATACAAGGCAAGAGATGCTTTCGCCAAAGTCTCAGTGCATCTGCCTGAGAGGTGAGGAACCAACAGTCTGCATACAAATAAGCCCGAAGTCCAAAAGTGGACGAACAGCCAGAACTTTGCCCTGGAGTTTACGCTGAGAATCAGAAGTAGATGATCATTTTTCAAGACCTGCAAACCAAGCCCAACATTTGTTAGCTCTTGTCTGATGTTACCGCGCAGTTTCAGCACTTTGCCATTGCATTTTCTGAAACAGTATATGAGTACTTTGCCATTGCTTTCTTCTGACAGTTGTATGAGTACTTTGTCCTTGCTTTCTCTGTCAACTGTATGAGTATTTGCCATTGCTTTCTCTGACATCTGTATGATGTTCATACCATTGTCTGAATTAACACAAATGCACAGACCTGACTTTGATCCTCAGTGTGTCAAGATTGTGAAACTGTATCCAAGACACAGACATAAACTCTTTCTTTACTATCAGTGCCACATGATCACGTGTTTCTGGTGCTTCATGTTTGAAGACGAGAGAGCTAATGCTAACGCCTTGTGCTTGTTTACCGCAGGTGGGCTACACAAGGGCTGGAGTTTATCACAATAGCCTGCGAGCCAAAGAATGTTGTCTATCTGACAGATGAAGAATTTCAGGTGAGTTCATTGTCTGTCTACACAAGAAAGTCTGCTTGGTTCTCTTGTTTTCAAACTAGTTTTAATGTCTGTCTTACAGCAGATTTCAGATCTTTCTAACCCTTTCACCCCATGAATGCTGAAAAAAGTGGGTCGTGAACCAATAAAAATTACTCAGAAAAACATTCTGTTAATTAAAAAAAAAACGTTTTCTTTTTCTTTACACAGGTCAGTAATAAACTGTGTGTGTATGTGAAATATGATAAAATGCATAATGGGGGTAATTAATAAACACAAAGAGAATAAAGCATTCAATAAAATACATTCCCCGGGGCCTAAAACAAATATGACATATATCATTGAGACTGACGGGAAAAGTTTTATCTCAGGATGGATTTAAAATAGCATTGGAGTCATAATAAACCTCTCTGAATGCTACGTTTTGTATTTTTGTAGCACAGCTCTCTTCTTTGTGTATGTTAATGTCACACCCAGGTTCTTCCTTAGTTTCTTACAGGAGTCAATTGGAAGATTATAGACGAGATGAAAGATGGTCGTGTCGATAGTAGTGATGATGATGATGTCTTGCTAGCTGCAAGTTTTCACGTCTCTGATGCTAGAAAAATAAAATGTCTGGAAACAATCTTCTTTTCAATTTACTGTCTTTATTGTGATACTTCAGTAATATCACAAATAACCTCAATGATATTCTGAATGGTTGCTGTTTTTTTCTATGGTTACATACTCTTGAGGTCGCGTTGTGTTTTTTATCTCTAATTACTTTGCTAACAGGCTCTAGTGGTGTGTGTGTCCGCATGTGTGAGTCTGCGTGTGTTTGTGCGGGTTTGTGTGTGTGTATCTGTGTGTGTGATTGGTTCTGTGTGCGTAGACAGGGCTAGACAGCAGCTGGTTGAAGGCCTGAACACCTTTGAGAACCGAAAGCACAAATAAGAAACGTATTGGTGGCATCTTTGGCTTATGCGTGGCAAACAAGCTAATCAAGCTTGTAATTCTCAGGTACCCGGTTTGAATCCAGGTGCAGATTTGGCAGTAGACCACCTTGCTTGCATTGATTTTGACAGGTGTCTCAAGAGCTGACCGTTCAGTAGCAGTGGCAAAACTACTCAGCAGAATGTTTCCCATTAAAACCTAACAGCTAACAAATGCTAGTGGTGATTCTGTAAAGGATATGCAACTAACTGAATAACAAGGGATTCTCCGCGTGAACTAATCAGTGTTTTATCATGTTTTGCAGGATTTCCAGCATCGGATTCTAGACTGCCTCACTCACATCATTGGGTCCTCGGATAATCGATACATTGCTCCAGGTAGTAGTTTAGTGTTTGTTTTATGATTTCAGAGTTGTTTGTTTGCTGTACACCTGAACACATACAGTCACATGGGGAATGCTGACCACCTGAACACATACAGTCACATGGGGAATGCCCATCTGTTGTCTCACCTTCCTGTAAGAGGGTCAAACAGTGCTGGACCCTCAGATTGCAGTCAGCACCGACGACATTAGTGCACTGGGACGATCGAATCTCCTGAGTTACCAGCAAAGACTAGAATGATCCAGAAATGCCAGGAGGAAGTCAGATGTATCAGCCTAAAGGGTTAGATATCACAGCTGTGCTGTAAACAGACACAAGACACATGCTGTCCAACATCATATTAATACAGAAAAACACTTCAGAGAAAGGAAGGAATTAGTCTTACAGTGGAAACCAGTTTTAGATTTGAACGGATGGAAGAGCTTCGAGGAAACCTGACAAATAGTTTTTGACTGGGCAATCAAGTTAGATCTTGAATGTTGCATGTTGAATTAAGAATCGACATCATAGCACTCGGGACACTTCCATAAGCGCTTATTCCCCATCTTCAGCAGCAAGCAAAGAGTTTGAATTCCGATGGCATCTGTAACTGTCTGGTTATATATTCCTCTGGCCTTTCCCTTGAGTATTAAGCGTCGGCCAGATACCCTGGTAGCTCCTCGTGGCGCCATTCTCCTCAGACCGTAATGATTCAAGCCTGAGAGGATCAGCTTTCCCTGTGTAGTTTTCAGGGGAAGAAGGAATCGACAAATTACCCCCCTAACAAGCATGTCATCACAGTTGATGAATTAGGATTGTTTCCCTTGATGTTGGAGTGCATTTGTCTAAGAGATAAAGAACCAGCAGTTTGCCTACATATCAACTAGATCTGGGAAACGGATGTGCACACAAACTCAAGAACAAGAGCAAATTCCAGAAGTGGATAAACCACCAGAACTTTGTGCTGGAGTTTACAACCAGTCAATATGAACAAGAAGAAGGTATAAGCTTCTGGGTTAATCTGTATGGCTCAGTCACCCTGCACATAATGGCAAGCCACCTGCCAATACCGTCACACAAAACACGAACTACAAAACTCCAGCAGCTATTCCAACGAATGTCCGAAAAACAGCACTTGTCACCTCAATGATGCATCTGTGAAATAAACCCATGACCTAAAGAGCAGGAGGCAAACGGCTTGACCGCTTCACCACAGAGAGACCCCCTCCCCCTTGACCTTTTAGACTAGGCATTGACACTCCCTGCTGAAGAAATAGGATGGTTCAGGCTGCTCAGATACACCAGTAGATACAATATGATTGCCAGATTGATGGAAATATCATGCTGCTATCTGCTGTAGGAAGGCAAAGGCAGTAAGAAAGATTGCACTAGTTTTAGAGCAGTAAGTTGAATTGAGTCAAGAATTGACATCACAGCACTCGGGGCATTCCCCTGCATGCATTTTACAGCAATATCATTCCTAAGCCACACAGGCTAAATGTACACCAGATTAATTGAAAGATTAAGAACATCACTGGAGAAATGACTCTCAGAAGTCGGGCTAAATGTACACCAGATTAATTGAAAGATTAAGAACATTGCTGGAGAAATGACTCTTAGAAGTCTGGCTAAATATACACCAGATTTCAGGAGTACGACAGAAATGAGAGTGGAACAAGACAAACAAATATGGAGCGGAGAGGTAAGAAAGCTTCACAATTACCCCAGTAACTGAAACACAAGTTGATGGTCAGCAGTTGGCACTGTAGAATTGTCATTTGATCAAGCAGTAGCTTTAACTCTTTGAGTCCCAAGGAACGCATCATACGTTCATAGGTTCCTACCTAGAAGCCCAGTGAATTCATGATGCACCGATTTTATGACTCTCTCTACTACCTCTTGGGCCTGTGATGCTAAACACTCTGGGACTCAAAGAGTTAACTGAAACACTTGATGATGATGAAGCACTAGCTTTTACTGAAACACTTGATGATGATGAAGCACTAGCTTTTACTGAAACACTTGATGATGATGAAGCACTAGCTTTTACTGAAACACTTGATGATGATGAAGCACTAGCTTTTACTGAAACACTTGATGATGATGAAGCACTAGCTTTTACTGAAACACTTGATGATGATGAAGCACTAGCTTTTACTGAAACACTTGATGATGATGAAACACTTCTTCCCACCCCAGGTCTGTCATTGAGCAGGAGCAACTTAGACCTGCCTCGAAGTGGTCAGCCTTTGGTCCAGCGACTGACCTCTTGCCCTGAGAACTCTCGCTTTATTCGGTCAGTGTCTGCTCGCTCGGTCAACAGTGATCCCACAGGACATCATACCAGTGGCAGTCTCACCTCAACTCCTTCCAGTATCAACAGTTTCTTCTTTGGAGATAACAGTATGTGTGCAGTCTGTTACCTTTTATTGTCAGAGTCTTTCTTTCTTTCATTTTTTTTTTCATTTCTATCTTTCCTTTCATCTGCTGTCTTTTGTTTTTGTCTGTCCTGCTTTCCTTTTGTCTACTTTTTAGCTGGGTTGGAAAAATGGAAAAAAAGGGGGGGGGGGCGCTTTCTTTCCTTTCTGAAGTCATGTTTCAGTGTTGACAGCTAACATTCTAATGTTAATAGAGAGACCATTCATAACATTTTAGTGCAGGATTTTGGCAAGAAAACAGTTGCTTGCCAGTTTGTACCGGCCAGCAGAAAGCTCAGCAGTGGTAAAGACACAAATATACATCTTATCATTGCTGTTTGTTGATAACACTCTGCTCGGGTTCAGTTTTATAGTTTGTTTTGTCTGCAGTTACTTCTGGATAAAGGAGCAAGGCTTGAATAGCAGCTAGACACTCACTTACTTGTCTCAACATCTTAGGTTCAAATCCGCATCCAGTTAAATATTTTCTTCTAGAAATCTAGGCTCCCGGGGCAGCCTAGTCTAAAATGGGTAAGAGTATTGACCTGGGGAGTAAAGCAGTTGCCTGGAGTTGGCCCTATCACCCACAATCTATGACCTGGGGAGTAAAGCAGTTGCCTGGAGTTGGCCCTATCACCCACAATCTATGACCTGGGGAGTAAAGCAGTTGCCTCAAGTTGGCCCTATCACCCACAATCTATGACCTGGGGAGTAAAGCAGTTTGCCTGAAGTTGGCCCTATCACCCACAATCTATGACCTGGGGAGTAAAGCAGTTGCCTCAAGTTGGCCCTATCACCCACAATCTATGACCTGGGGAGTAAAGCAGTTGCCTGGAGTTGGCCCTATCACCCACAATCTATGACCTGGGGAGTAAAGCAGTTGCCTGGAGTAGGCCCTATCACCCACAATCTATGACCTGGGGAGTAAAGCAGTTGCCTGAAGTTGGCCCTATCACCCACAATCTGAGAACTGTGTGAACATTGACAGTTAGCATTAGAAAGCTGGTGAGAACTGTGTGAACATTGACAGCTGGCATTGGAAAGCTGGTGAGAACTGTGTGAACATTGACAACCGGCATTGGAAAGCTGGTGAGAACTGTGTGAACATTGACAGCTGGCATTGGAAAGCTGGTGAGAACTGTGTGAACATTGACGGCCAGCATTGGAAAGCTGGTGAGAACTGTGTGAACATTGACGGCCGGCATTGGAAAGCTGGTGAGAACTGTGTGAACATTGACGGCCGGCATTGGAAAGCTGGTGAGAACTGTATGAACATTGACGGCCGGCATTGGAAAGCTGGTGAGAACTGTGTGAACATTGACGGCCGGCATTGGAAAGCTGGTGAGAACTATGTGAACAACTGGGTGTGTGTGGCTGACTGATAGGCTTTATGTTTGATTGACACAAGATTTGAAACTGCAGTGGTCTCAGTCTCCGTTGATTTATGTCAATGTTGTAGGAGGCACCAGGCACTCCATTCCTGAACTTCCAGAAATTTCTGTGCTGGGTTCTGCTGAAGATGGCCGCCTTTATCTTCTGGACACTTCCCGCCGGGGGTCTAGAGGTCAACTGACAGCTCAGTCGGGTTAATAGAATTCTTATGTATTTGACATATCCGAGTTGCTGTTGTGAGGTGTTTGGTTCTTGTACACCCTGTATGCATGTCCTTAGTGCTGTAGCTGTCGCTTTCTGTTGGTCTTGGGTCGGTTCATCTCAGTAAGAACACAGCACCAATAGTGAATGACTAGCCAGAACTTAGATTCCCCTAAACACTAAACACAATATACAGAATATACTCATCACCTTCATCAAGTAGCCTGCCAACTGGCACGGAGAATCATAAATAACCATGATAGACTTCTAGTCTGAGTTTTACCAACTGATGCAAGCCATTCTGAGTGCAAACACCAGTTTCTGTTTTCTGAAATGAGTCAGTTACAATGACAGATTTGTGGTTATTTCTGTCCCCTTACAATTACAGATTTGTGGTTATTTCTGTCCCCTTACAATTACAGATTTGTGGTTATTTCTGTCCCCTTTTTTTAAATAATTTATTTTTAATCTCTGCCATATTTGTTCTTACATAATCTTTAAACAAATTTGTAAAACGTCATTGTAGAGCCAGTTACTTATTTTGCCTTTGTCCATTTTGAGGATATGGTGAGGGATATATTCTAACAAAAGAGGATTGGTAGGAATATCATCTTCATTGTCATTTGAATGAAAATTGATAACAAATTTTTTTTTTAATTTAATTTTTTTAAGGTTATGGAATCTGTGATAGCTGTTTTGCTTTATGTTTATTGTTAGCTAATTGGTGTGGCATAAGTGTACTCAACCTGTCGCATGAAGTGTCTGGGTTTAGTTGTGGTTCTTTGCTTTGTAAATATGTGGAGCATATATTTTTGTGTCTTATGATCTTTTGGGTGATTACCAAGCGGGTTTTCTACAGAGCAGATCAACAGTTTATCATTTATTTAATTTATGGCAAATAGCAGAGCAAAATTGGGAATATTGATGTACATAATGATTTTGGGTTTTAAAAGAGGCATATGATAGTGTACATAGAAACAGTTTATGGAATGCTATGAAGAACTTTGGAATACCAAAGAAGTTAATTTGTATGGAAGACACTTATAATATATTAACATATAAAGGGAGAAAGTCAGACTATTTTCAAATAACATCTGGTTTAAAGCAAGGTGATGCTCTGTCCCCACTTCTATTCAGCTTGGCTCTGGAGAAAATTATAAGGACATTGAAACGGGAGTGCTGTAAGAGAAACTACAAGAATACTTGGCTATGCAGATGCAGAACTAGAGACTGTTAAAAACACTCTCTTAAAAGAAGTAGCTCACAAAATGGGACTAGTTATCAATCAAGATAAGACAGAATGCATGATAATAATAAGATAGGCAAAGGATATAAACTCCAGCCACATACAAGTCAATAATATGAAAATCAAACGAATTAAAACATTTAAGTAATTGGATGCAAATTTCAGTTGTTCTAACAAAATACAATGTAAATACAATCTGGAAATAAAGTATGCCATGCTCTTCAACATCTGCTAAAGTCAAAGTGTCTGTCATACAACACCATCATACAACACCATCATACAACACCATCATACAACACCATCGTACAACACCATCGTACAACACCATCATACAACACCAAGATCAAAATATAGAAAACATTGATAAGGCCAGTCATTTTAAATGGCTCTGAAACTTGGAGCACAACTAAAAGAGATGAAGCCTTTTTACAGGTTTTCAAAAACTGAGTCTTATGATGAATCTTTGGATCCATCAAAGATGCAAACAGCGGGGAATGGAAAGTGAGAAGCAAACAGCGGGGAATGGAAAGTGAGAAGCAAACAGCCGGGAATGGAAAGTGAGAAGCAACAATGAAGTTGATAATCTGTTGAAATCACCACTGATCACTGGCATCATGATGGCTAATAGACTGAAATGGTTGGGACAGGTTGAGAAAATGTCAGATGACAAAAAAGTAAAAACTGTCTACACAAGGGAGTTGAATGTTCATAGACCATGAGGCGGACCAAGAAGGCAATGGAGAGATAACGTCCAGACATTTGATGTCACCTCCTGGAAAGAGAAGGCCAACCAGAGAGATGTGTGGAGGCGGGTGAAATCTGCAGCCATTTAAAGGGCTCAGAGAGCTAAAGAAGATGATCATTTCGGTTATTTGCCTGGCATAGCATTCACAGAAGAATGTAGAGTTAAGTAGTGTGTGTGTGTGTGTGCATGAGAGACGAATGTAGATTTAAGTAGTGTGTGTGCATGAGAGAAGAATGTAGATTTAAGTAGTGTGTGTGTGTGCATGAGAGAAGAATGTAGATTTAAGTAGTGTGTGTGTGTGTGCATGCATGCATGAGAGAAGAATGTAGATTTAAGTAGTGTGTGTGTGTGCGTGCATGCATGCGTGAGAGAAGAATGTAGATTTAAGTAGTGTGTGTGTGTGCATGAGAGAAGAATGTAGATTTAAGTAGTGTGTGTGTGTGTGTGCATGCATGCATGAGAGAAGAATGTAGACTTAAGTAGTGTGTGTGTGTGCGTGCATGCATGCGTGAGAGAATAATGTAGATTTAAATAGTGCGTGCATGCGTGAGAGAGAGGGAGAGATCCACTAAGAACTAGGACCTTGTAGACTTTTATAGACCCTGTGTGCATAGTCCACTCACTGTTGATTCCGAGGCCCTGTTTTGGGGTGTAAAGCGAGAACAGACCCACTGCCTCTGTAACAACCTGGTCATAGAAGGCAGTAAATTAGGGGTGTTTCCTTCGATGTCCGAGTCCATCTGCCCGAGAGGCGAGGAGCCAGCAGTCTTTATACAAATATGTATATGAAATCAGCCAGATCTTGTGAACGTATTTACTTTCAAAACTCAAGTTCTGGAACATGACCAATGTCCAGAAATGGATGAACAGCAACAACTTTCCACTGGCATTTACAGCTGGTGAACTGAGAGGAGGAGAAGAAGAAGATGATGCCATAAATGGTTGATTTCAGATTTGACATCACTGCACCCAGAACAGTGCCACACTTGATGTGTCCCCTTTCCAGAACATTGCCACACTTGCTGTGTCCCCTTTCCAAAACATTGCCACACTTGCTGTGTCCCCTTTCCAAAACATTGCCACACTTGCTGTGTCCCCTTTCCAAAACATTGCCACACTTGCCGTGTCCCCTTTCCAGAACATTGCCACACTTGCTCAGTCCCCTTTCCAAAACATTGCCACACTTGCTGTGTCCCCTTTCCAGAACATTGCCACACTTGATGTGTCCCCTTTCCAGAACATTGCCACACTTGATGTGTCCCCTTTCCAGAACATTGCCACACTTGCTGTGTCCCCTTTCCAGAACATTGCCACACTTGATGTGTCCCCTTTCCAAAACATTGCCACACTTGCCTTGTCCCCTTTCCAGAACATTGCCACACTTGCTTAGTCCCCTTTCCAAAACATTGCCACACTTGCTGTGTCCCCTTTCCAGAACATTGCCACACTTGCTGTGTCCCCTTTCCAGAACATTGCCACACTTGATGTGTCCCCTTTCCAAAACATTGCCACACTTGATGTGTCCCCTTTCCAAAACATTGCCACACTTGCCTTGTCCCCTTTCCAGAACATTGCCACACTTGCTTAGTCCCCTTTCCAAAACATTGCCACACTTGCTGTGTCCCCTTTCCAGAACATTGCCACACTTGCTGTGTCCCCTTTCCAGAACATTGCCACACTTGCTGTGTCCCCTTTCCAGAACATTGCCACACTTGCTTAGTCCCCTTTCCAAAACATTGCCACACTTGCTGTGTCCCCTTTCCAGAACATTGCCACACTTGCTGTGTCCCCTTTCCAGAACATTGCCACACTTGCTGTGTCCCCTTTCCAGAACATTGCCACACTTGATGTGTCCCCTTTCCAAAACATTGCCACACTTGATGTGTCCCCTTTCCAGAACATTGCCACACTTGCTTAGTCCCCTTTCCAAAACATTGCCACACTTGCTGTGTCCCCTTTCCAGAACATTGCCACACTTGCTGTGTCCCCTTTCCAGAACATTGCCACACTTGCTGTGTCCCCTTTCCAGAACATTGCCACACTTGATGTGTCCCCTTTCCAAAACATTGCCACACTTGATGTGTCCCCTTTCCAAAACATTGCCACACTTGCTGTGTCCCCTTTCCAGAACATTGCCACACTTGCTGAGTCAGTCTCATCAGCTATGTACACTGTTCTTCTGCAGTGTTCACTAGATCCTGTAGAGTTCTGGGCTGAAAATCCAGTCTTATCAAGAGATGCAAGCCACTCTTTTCATAGCATACAAGTTTCAGATCTCAAAAGCAAACTTGTTATAAATAATGTCTAGTTGTACTTCCTCTGAGCCATCATGAAATTGCTGTTACTGCCTCCACCTCCATTCTCATAATATTGTATAACCTCACACACAAGGATCTTTTTGATTGGTTTTGTATTAAGCAGTGTCCATTCACCTCTGCAGTCAAACCCACATGCATTCAGTGATTTTAATCGTATCCTTGACGCCAACAATGTGGTTTTTGTGTGTATTTTGGAAAGGGGGGTGGGGGATCTAACCAAAATCATTAGATTCCTATAGTGATTTTATTCTCATCTGTAACCCTAACTGTGCGTGTTGTCTAACAACACAGTGAATTTTTACAATCACTGTTTGATTCCGATAGTGATTTTATTCCAATCCTCAACCCTAACTGTGAGTGTTGTCTAACAACACAGTGAATTTTTACAATCACTGTTTGATTCCGATAGTGATTTTATTCCAATCCTCAACCCTAACTGTGCGTGTTGTCTAACAACACAGTGAATTTTTATAATCACTGTTTGATTCCGATAGTGATTTTATTCCAATCCTCAACCCTAAGTGTGCGTGTTGTCTAACAACACAGTGAATTTTTACAATCACTGTTTGATTCCGATAGTGATTTTATTCCAATCCTCAACCCTAACTGTGCGTGTTGTCTAACAACACAGTGAATTTTTATAATCACTGTTTGATTCCGATAGTGATTTTATTCTCATCCGTAACCCTAACTGTGCGTGTTGTCTAACAACACAGTGAATTTTTATAATCACTGTTTGATTCCGATAGTGATTTTATTCTCATCCGTAACCCTAACTGTGCGTGTTGTCTATCAACGCAGTGAATTTTTACAATCACTGTTTGATTCTGATAGTGATTTTATTCTGTCCTATGTTATTATAACAATGCTTTTGTTCTAACCAGCATGGGGATTTGGTTACAATTCACTTTAATTCCTACAGTAATTTGCTCTCAAACATCAATAATCCCAGTAATGCTTTTTGTGTCTCTGCTACAGCAGTTTGGATTATAATCCACATTAATGCTTAAGTAATTTTTTTTTTAATCATCATTACTCCAAATAGAGCTTGTCTAGTGTAACCAGTCTGTGATTTGGCTATAATCAACATTAATTCTGTCTTCTCTGTATATACTAACTCCTATTAACTCTTTGAGTCCCAGAGATCTGATATGCCGATCATACAGTATTGCTACCCACATCATAAACTGGTATAGAAAATGTAATACCCTTCTCAACCCAAAGAAATAGAGAAAAGCACAACTTATATCTTAACATAGCAAAAACAAAGATTATACATACAGATAAATCTACTATAGAGAAAGAAATGTTAATGAGGAAAGATTAGAGGTTGTGAAAAATGTTGAATATCTTTGGTCATTGATTACAAACAATAGTCACACAAAGGAAGAAATTAAATGATGGCTATCAGTTGCTCTTCAAAGACTAAAACAACTCAATAAATTATGGAGTGGAACAGACGGAACTATGCAAATTTCTAAGAGCATGCATCTTTCCCATTGCAGCATACGCCTGTGAGACCTGGACACTTACTAAACAAGCTGAACAGCGCATAAATGCCTTTGAATACTAATGTTATAGCCGGGTTCTAAGAATCTCACGGGTAATGAAAAGAACAAATGCATCCATACTTCAAGAACTGAATATTGAAGAAGGTTGTCTATTAAAGACGATAAAACGCAGAACATTTGAATATTTTGGTCACTTGAAACGTCACAAAAGTTTATAGAGAGAATACTAGTGCAGGGGTATATGGAAGAGAGGAAAAGGAAGGCCAAAGAGAAGATGGGTGCAGGATGTGGAGGATGATCTCTAGATGGGTTTCCGGCAGGTTGTCTAGGGAGTATGGTTCTGCAAAAGACATGCTACTGACTGACTGACTGAATTATTTCTTGAGTCCGAGGGGTTTTAACATCAGAGGCCCAAGGGGTGGTAATGCAGTTTTGAAATTTCACAAGTGTAACGCATAAAAACGCAATACTATTTCAGCTGCCGCACAACATACATGTATTACACATCAAAGTGACCAGGGATTGTTGGGGAAAAATTTTAAAATACTGCAATAAAAATAAATTGTTTTAATAGTTTACTATTAGTAAAAAAAACACATGGTGTGTTTGGATAAATTAGAAATAAGAAAAAATTTGTCCACTGACCACCATGGTATGGGTTCCATTCTTTGAGTGAAGGAAAGAGAATATACACCCTGCTCCCTCTAACAAACATTTCTCTGGGCAGCTGATTAGGAGTGTTTTCTTCAGAGTGCATCAGCCTGAGAGGTGAGGAATCAATAGACTGCACACACAAAAGACAGATTAGTCAATGGATGTGCACACAGAATTCAAGTTCTGAAACAAAAAGTCCAGCCAGAAGCAGGTGGACAACAACATAAACTGGAGTTGACAGTCAGTGAACACACAACTAGAACATACACTGGAGTTGACAGTCAGTGAACACACAACTAGAACATAAACTGGAGTTGACAGTCAGTGAACACACAACTAGAACATACGCTGGAGTTGACAGTCGGTGAACACACAACTAGAACATACGCTGGAGTTGACAGTCAGTGAACACACAACTAGAACATACGCTGGAGTTGACTGTCAGTGAACACACAACTAGAACATATGCTGCAGTTGACAGTCGGTGAACACGCAACTAGAACATACGTGGAGTTGACAGTCAGTGAACACACAACTAGAACATACGCTGGAGTTGACAGTCAGTGAACACACAACTAGAACATACGCTGGAGTTGACAGTCAGTGAACACACAACTAGAACATATGCTGCAGTTGACAGTCGGTGAACACGCAACTAGAACATACGTGGAGTTGACAGTCAGTGAACACACAACTAGAACATACGCTGGAGTTGACAGTCAGTGAACACACAACTAGAACATATGCTGCAGTTGACAGTCGGTGAACACGCAACTAGAACATACACTGGAGTTGACAGTCAGTGAACACACAACTAGAACATACACTGGAGTTGACAGTCAGTGAACACACAACTAGAACATACACTGGAGTTGACAGTCAGTGAACACACAACTAGAACATACACTGGAGTTGACAGTCAGTGAACACCAAGAAGAAGATACGCAACTAAATCTTCTTTTTTTTTTCTAGACTTGTTTGTTTCTTGTTTGTGGCCACCAAACTTTTTGCTTGTGAGTTTTTTTAGTTTAGAACAATTTTTTCGCTGTCGGTGGTTATCAGGCATACAACTAATCAGCCTGCTTGCTGTTGACAAAATGTGAATAGTGTAACACAGCTTGTTTGTGTGTTATTTAGATGTCTACCCATTGATGGAAATTGAATAAAAGCTGTCATAAAATACACGCTTGCAACCCATGACATTGAGGCAGACCAAAAAAACACATGGAGAAGGGAATGAGATAGTGAGTTGAGAAAGGCTAGGTGATATGTCCAAGGTTATCAGGTGAGCTATACCTGACAGCAGATAAGAGGATGTCTCTGTGGGAGTTGGTTGAGGGTCATTGCTTCACTGGGGGATGAAGGGGGGAGAGGGCTGTGTGATTGTTAACCAGACAATGTTTGTTGCATGACCCTTTGCATTTTCAGTTTGGTATTGAATGTTGTCTTATGCTCTGGTTGTTTTTGCTGACATTCCTGACTCAGAGATGCTACAATCTTTTGTTTAGTGTTTAAACTAAGATTAACTAATGACACTTGTATATATATATGTGTGTATGTATATGCATATTATTTCTTCCACTCACAGTACTCAGCGAGGCAGACAGAACACGCCCTAGAGGTGAACGCCTGCGTCTGCGCATTGAAAAACTGGAGTTGGGTCGAGAGCAGAAGTTGAGGGAGTCGCGAATTATTGGCAGGGTAACCAATCACGTGCAAGAGCCAGATTATCGCATCAATGTTCGTCGGGTCAACTTTAGATGGCAACGTGGCATCAAGATAGGTATGCCAGCTAAGATGTTGGTTTTCTTGGTTTCGTTATGTCTACCTGTGTGTGTGTACATGCATGTGCATGCAGTTGTGGCTGTGTATGTGTTTGTTTGTTTGAGGAACTGAATTCATGAGAACGAACAAACAAACTTTATTTTAAGAGAGTTACAAAATGGGCACACAGACCCGTCTTACATTTGGCCCTTCCAAGCTCTCATCTTTCTTACCACAGTTGCAAGTTATGTCTATATGGACATATACATAATTAAATAATTCACATACACATACTGTATACACAATCATATACACTAAACAATCCAAACGTACACATACTCTTATATGCTCATACACACACAGACACATACAGACTCATACATACATACATACATACATACATACATACATACATACATACATACATACATACATACATACATACATACATACATACATACATACATACACATATCCATCCTTACATACATACATACATACACATATCCATCCTTACATACCTACACACATGCGTGTGTGTGTGTAAGCACACACATACACAGATTTTCCTCCAGTATGGTTTTTAAGAGTAATATGTTCTTTAATGTTGAGAGAGAGAGAGCGATGCATGTTGGTTCGCTGTGTTTCAAATTGTTGTATCTATTTATGTGTGTGTGCGTGTGTTCCCACAGGTATGCATGAGAGAGAGCAAGAGACTGAGTTCAGCAGATTGTTTTACCTTTAGTTGAATGTGAGCAGTAGACTTTTTAAGTCTGGTTTATTTTTCTTTCTTTTTTTCTTTAGTTTTAAAGATGTCAGCATGCTCTGATTGTTTTCAATAATTCATGAAAACGGTGGTTTCCTCATGCATTTTTATGTAGCTTAGTGGATGCTGAAGGAAAATAAATAAATATTGAATGAAATTGAAGATTAAGAAACCGAAAGCTGAGGCACTACCAAAGAAATTTATTCTAAAATGGGTCTGTGAGACAAAATAGTTGGGGAAGGCTGCAGCAGCACACAGAAGATCCTGATAACAGCCCTGAACAACTGAGGGAACAGCCCTGAACAACTGATGGAACTAAATGAACGAACAAACAAACTTTATTTTCAAAGGGTTACAAATTGGGCACGCAGGCCCGTCTGACATTCGGCCCCACTAGGCACAGAAGAAGAAGAAGACACAGACAGGTTCTCCTGGTTTTGTAGTGCTTATGTGAGAAGGTCAGGCACCTATCTAATCATCTGTTATTACAAACAGGGATGGTTCCCGTCTTCGGCTTTCTTTTGTTTATAAACATTACTGACTGAGTGGTTCTCAGTTGGCAGACTTAGTACTTACTCTCTGATGTATGTAGCTGGTAAATTCAGAGACCAAATGTGGCCATTTGATGTCTACATCTAATATTGATTGTGATTGTCTTGTGTGTCCTGTCTTAGGTGAGGGTCAGTTTGGTAAAGTCTATACTGCAGTCAACATCAACACAGGAGAACTGATGGCCATGAAAGAGGTATGTCTGGATCTAAATCATTCTAGAACATTTCTGCTTGAAATGTGTTTTCATTAGTCACTTCTGAAACATATTTATTTGAAGCATGTAACAGAATCTAGTGGAGCAATCAATCGCTGCAGTTCAGAATGTTGGTTAAATAATAATTGTAGAAAACCCTTAAACTTTGATCATTAGCAAAGGAAACTGAACCATTGAACTAGCTGGAGATAGATGCTACTGAGCTTTGAATTATGGCCCAGTATTTTACCATGGGGGTGTTTTAAGCATTGCCTACCATGGTGCACACATGATGCTTACAGATCATAGATTGCCATGCTTGCTTAAACTGTGGTTGGGTTGCTGTCCCTTTGCAATCCTTCAGTTATTTAAACAGTGATCATCTGTTGCTGTTATTGAAACATTCAGTTTGCCAGCTTTGATCATGTCATTGTGCTGTGTGTTTATTCCCAGATGAAGTTCCAGCCTAATGATCAACAGTCGTTGAAGGAGATTTGTGATGAGATCAAGAACTTTGAGGGCATCAACCACAAGAACCTGGTCAAGTACTTTGGGGTGGAGGTGCACAAGGTGGGTCTGAATGGATCTTCTTTGTCTCGTCCTGTGTTTGAGTCTTGATAAGGCATGTTGCATGTCTTTTTTCCATCTTGTATTTGTTTTTTGAGAGGATCTTCTTTGTCTTGTTCTGTGTTTGAGCCTTGATGAGGTAAATCACCTTCCTGCTTTCTATATTGTACTGATTTCTCAGATGGAAGATGTATCACAGAGATCGAAATCTTATGCAGTAAATCCCTGTCAAGGGAGATAAGAAGAAAGATTATCCTGTGCTACATAGAGACATGTGGCTGTCAGTCCTGGACAGTTAAACAAGCTGAACAGAAATGTGGTTTTACTGACGGTTGTTTAGAATTCCTTGGACAGCCAAAAATTGTAGCCTTGATGTTCTTGAAAGAGGGGAGGACACGAAGATGTCTTGTCATAAATATCAGGAGACAGTAATCATTTATTGGCTGTTATAGAAACTGGGACATGTTGTGACCATTGGAAATCTCTGTGGCAAGAGACGTAGGGGAGAGGGAGGGAGTATTTAAGCCTGAGGATTTAGGACCTCTTGGCTAGTGTGGTGGGGAGGGAGTATTTAAGCCTGAAGATTTAGGACCTCTTGGCTAGTGTGGTGGGGAGGGAGTATTTAAGCCTGAAGATTTAGGACCTCTTGGCTAGTGTGGTGGGGAGGGAGTATTTAAGCCTGAAGATTTAGGGCCTCTTGGCTAGTGTGGTGGGGAGTATTTAAACCTGAAGATTTAGGACCTCTTGGCTAGTGTGGTGGGGAGGGAGTATTTAAGCCTGAAGATTTAGGACCTCTTGGCTAGTGTGGTGGGGAGGGAGTATTTAAGCCTGAAGATTTAGGACCTCTTGGCTAGTGTGGTGGGGAGGGAGTATTTAAGCCTGAAGATTTAGGACCTCTTGGCTAGTGTGGTGGGGAGGGAGTATTTAAGCCTGAAGATTTAGGACCTCTTGGCTAGTGTGGTGGGGAGGGAGTATTTAAGCCTGAAGATTTAGGGCCTCTTGGCTAGTGTGGTGGGGAGTATTTAAACCTGAAGATTTAGGGCCTCTTGGCTAGTGTGGTGGGGAGAGAGTATTTAAACCTGAGGATGTAGGGCCTCTTGGCTAGTGTGGTGGGGAGGGAGTATTTAAGCCTGAAGATTTAGGGCCTCTTGGCTAGTGTGGTGGGGAGTATTTAAACCTGAAGATTTAGGGCCTCTTGGCTAGTGTGGTGGGGAGAGAGTATTTAAACCTGAGGATGTAGGGCCTCTTGGCTAGTGTGGTGGGGAGGGAGTATTTAAGCCTGAAGATTTAGGGCCTCTTGGCTAGTGTGGTGGGGAGTATTTAAACCTGAAGATGTAGGGCCTCTTGGCTAGTGTGGTGGGGAGAGAGTATTTAAACCTGAGGATGTAGGGCCTCTTGGCTAGTGTGGTGGGGAGGGAGTATTTCAACCTGAGGATGTAGGGCCTCTTGGCTAGTGTGGTAGGGAGGGAGTATTTATGCCTGAGGATTTAGGGCCTCTTGGCTAGTGTGGTGGGGAGGGAGTATTTAAGCCTGAGGATGTAGGACCTCTTGGCTAGTGTGGTGGGGAGGGAGTATTTCAACCTGAGGATTTAGAGCTCCATGGCTAGTGTGGTAGGGAGGGAGTATTTCAACCTGAGGATTTAGGGCCCCATGGCTAGTGTGGTGGGGAGGGAGTATTTAAGCCTGAGGATTTAGGGCCTCTTGGCTAGTGTGGTGGCCATGCATTGAGCAGGTTAGAATTTTTGTTTTTTTCCCTGACTGAAAAAAATCCACAACTCTACCAAGGATTGGAACCTGGGTCCTCTGGTAACAGTTTAGCCAGCCACTCAGAGGGAGTAGAACATAGAGTAGTGACTTTCACCAAAAGGAATCCAATCCTCATTATCATCACCCTGTTTAGCTGTTAGACATCACATACGGCTCAGTCTGTTCCTTCATTCCATTCTCCTATGTTCAGTCCTGTCAGTTTGATGGGTCAACCTTCAGTCCAGTCTGTTACCTTTGGCCTCTCTCAGCATTCATCTTAAGCTTTCTTTTGGATGTCCTTATATCCTCAATCTGTTTGTTTCCCATTTTAGCACCAGTTTGGTAATTTTCTGCTCCCTTCTTCACCTGATGCACCAGATATATCGCACATTTCTTTGCCTTACGACTGTTGATACCATTTGATGTCCAGACATTTCTCTCTTTAATTCAACCCATGTAATGACTTTCACCTCAAAGTTTCTGTAGCAAAATAATTTTTACACTGTGGAGAAACTGTGCCAAACCCTGCTTCTTTTTTTCCCCTCCGGCCTTGGGACCGGCAGTGATGTATAGTGCACATCGCATGCTGTGTGTTCATTGAGTTGAGCTGAGTCAAGAATTGACCTCACAGCAATCGTGGCATTCCCATGCATGCTCCGTCCTCATCTTCAGCAGCCAGCGCAGTTCCAATACTGATGGTGCCTGTCACAACCTGGTTAAAAGTCCATCTCAACTGGCAAGATGGGTGGAAAAAGACAAGAAATAGGCTGGAGAACTTAGTCTCAACTGGCAAGATGCATGGGAAAAGACAAGGGGGAAGGCAAGGAGATAAATGCCTAGTTGCTTAGCCACAAGAACACTAACCTGTTTCATGACTTTAGTGATCATGTGATGGGGCAGAATGTGACTGCCTTTCCACACAGTACATGGTGATGGTAGCATTGGTTGTTGTTGATGCTGCTGCTGTTCTTCTTCTTCTTCTCTACTTCTTCTTCTTCTTTATCTCGTCCTTGAATATATTGACTTGATGTCTCTATTCTGGTGCAGGATGAGATGCTGATGTTCATGGAGTACTGTGACAGTGGCTCCATTGAAGAAGTGGCGCGTATAGGCCTGCCCGAGTACATGATCAGAAGATACACACAGGAGATTGTACGTGCCATAGTTCACTTGCATGAGAATAATATTGTGCACAGAGACATCAAAGGTCGGTGATTAGTCTTCTTTTTATTGTTTGTGGTGAGGTTATTGATTGTTTGCATTGTTTTGATCGTCGTCGTCGTCATGTACCATGCTGGTAAGCCTAAACGGGCAGGTTTTGCATCTCAGGCAATCACCAGAATCATGGATGAAGTGTGTGTGCTTGTTCAGCCCAGATGAAATAACCAGGCCATCCATCTGTTGATCACATTGTCTTGCCCAGGCTCTTTTCCCTGCCAAGTTTGCTTGTTGTCACCAGGTTTTTCATGTCATTGCTCCTTATATTATCCAGCAAAGTTGACTGAGGGGCCAATCTTCATGAGCCAAGGGCCAAACACCCGGCAGAGAAAGGCTGGCAGTGATCCGTGAGCCACTTTGCGGGCCGCCACTTTAATGGCCCTGGTCTACAACATAAATATGTTTTCATTGTTCTTGCTGAGTGAGATTTCTGTTTATTCTATCCAAACTGCATGAGCATAGGCACTCAACTAACACACTCTACACCAAGCATCCTTCCCATTGCCCTCATGTGACGCTGACTGCACACTCTCCTATTAGTTGGTTCACTGGAATTTATTCTCCCAATGCTGCTCAGTAATGATTATATCAAACCGTTTAAATTCTATCTTGTCTCCGCTGACATCAGTCGAGTCTTTTCTGTACCAAATTTGATACTATGTGATGAACTATCAACTGTCTTATTCGCTCTCTCTCTCTCTCTCATTCTCTCTCTCTCTCTCTCTCTCACACACACACACACACTTTTCTCTGCTCGCTCAGCTCAGCTCACTCACTCACACTTACAGACACACACACATTGTATGTGTGAGTGAGAGAGAAGATAATAACTTGTACGTTAGATAATTGTATTCTCCCTGCAAATATATTGGGCAACACAATATTGGATATCTTTCTGCATCTCTGCTATCCTTTTGTCTTTTTATTGTTCCACTTTGTTATCTGTTGAGTCTTTTATTATCTTTCCACACCTGTGATGTCATCTTTATCTTTCCATATCATCATCGTCATGTAGCAGGTCCTTTGCAGAACGTCGCTCTCATCACGGTCTGTCTGAAAGAAACACGGTCTCTTGCCAGCTCTCCCGCCTCATGTACTTTCATACTCAAGGAGTCACTAATTTCCTGTGCCCATCTTCATATTGGTCGGCCCCTTCCCCTCCTTCCTGGTACCATGCCTTCTGCTATAATTTGTTCCAATTCATCGTAGCACTTGATACGACCAAAATATTTCAGCTTCCGAGACTGGATGCTGTTTATTAGCCAATCTTCGTTGATGTTCAGATCTTTCAAGATGTCAATATTTCTCCTCTTCTTTGTCCAAGATATTCTGAGAATCTTTCTATAGTATTTCTTTCCATTACTGCTCTGTAATGTGTATCAGTCTGTCTGTGATGCTAATTTGATTTTTTTAACCTTTTTTTTTCCCTCTTGATGTCATTTAAAAAAATCTTTCTGCACATGTGATGTCCTTTTTTTGCATTATGCTATCTATTTGCTTAACAGCTGTTTCACATCTCTGCTGTTTTTTATTTTTATTTTGGAGACTTGCCATATGCATGCTGTATTTTTGTTCTCCAGGTGCCAATATTTTCCTGACCTCTCAAGGACATGTAAAGCTGGGAGATTTTGGTTGCTCTGTGAAATTAAAGAACCAGCAGACAATGCCTGGGGAGAATGTGAATCTAGTCGGCACGACAGGTGAGTGTCTGCGGGTATCAGTCTCATGTACTGTCTTACAGGTGGGCGAGTGGAACTGAGAGTGTAAAGTGAGGATGTAGTGGGAGACACTGCAGGGGGAAGTGTCTGCGGGTATCAGTCTCATGTTCTGTCTTACAGCTGGAGGAATGGGCAGAGAGTATAGAGCTGGATCATGGTGGAAGATCAAGCATGGCTGAGCCGTCATGGTGTCTGCCATATCATGTAAACACTGATTACTGGTTAAACACTGACTACTGGGTTAAACACTGACTACTGGGTTAAACACTGACTACTGGGTTAAACATTGACTACTGGTTAAACACTGACTACTGGGTTAAACACTGACTACTGGGTTAAACACTGACTACTGGGTTAAACACTGACTACTGGGTTAAACACTGACTACCGGGTTAAACACTGACTACCGGGTTAAACACTGACTACCGGGTTAAATACTGACTACCGGGTTAAACACTGACTACTGGGTTAAACACTGACTACTGGGTTAAACACTGACTACTGGGTTAAATACTGACTACTGGGTTAAACACTGACTACTGGGTTTTAAACACTGATTACTGGGTTAAACATTGACTACTGGTTAAACACTGACTACCGGGTTAAACACGGACTACTGGGTTAAACACTGACTACCGGGTTAAACACTGACTACTGGATTAAACACTGATTACTGGGTTAAACATTGACTACTGGGTTAAACAGTGACTACTGGGTTAAACATTGACTACTTGTTAAACACTGACTACCGGGTTAAACACTGACTACCGGGTTAAACATTAACTACTGGTTAAACACTGACTACTGGTTAAACACTGACTACTGGGTTAAACACTGACTACCGGGTTAAACATTGACTACTGGTTAAACACTGACTACTGGTTAAACACTGACTACTGGGTTAAACACTGACTACCGGGTTGAACATTGACTACTGGTTAAACACTGACTACTGGGTTAAACATTGACTACTGGGTTAAACATTGACTACTGGGTTAAACATTGACTACTGGTTAAACACTGACTACTGGGTTAAATGCTGACTGCTGGTTTAATACTGACTACTGCATAAAACACTGACTACTTGTTAAACACCGACTACTGGGTTAAACGCTGACTACTGGGTTAAACACTGACTACAGGGTTAAACACTGACTTCTGGGTTAAACACTGACTACTGGGTTAAACACTGACTACTGGGTTAAACACTGACTACTGGGTTAAACATTGACTACTGGGTTAAATACTGACTACTGGGTTAAACACTGACTACTGGGTTAAACAATAACTACTGGATTAAACATTGACTACTGGCTTAAACACTGATTACTGGGTTAAATACTGACTACTGGGTTAAACACTGACTACTGGGTTAAATACTGACTACTGGGTTAAACACCGACTACTGGGTTAAACACTGATTACTGGGTTAAACATTGACTACTGGGTTTTAAACACTGACTACTGGGTTAAACATTGACTACTGGTTAAACACTGACTACCGGGTTAAACACGGACTACTGGGTTAAACACTGACTACCGGGTTAAACACTGACTACTGGATTAAACACTGATTACTGGGTTAAACATTGACTACTGGGTTAAACAGTGACTACTGGGTTAAACATTGACTACTTGTTAAACACTGACTACCGGGTTAAACACTGACTACCGGGTTAAACATTGACTACTGGTTAAACACTGACTACTGGGTTAAACACCGACTACTGGGTTAAATACTGACTACTGGGTTAAACACTGATTACTGGGTTAAACACTGATATCTGTTGCCAGACTAGATTCCAGTCTAGCTAATCTGCCTAAACTGTCTTGCCCCTCAACATTGTCAAGTTTTATTACAGATCTTGCATACCTGCTAGTTTCTGAGCTTTTTAAAAAAAGATGTTAATACATTTTCCCTCTCCTTTTAAGACTAACATATTTGTTTCGTTAAAACTCTTCTGGTTCCTATTTGCTACTCTTTCGTGTTTTCAGTTGGGTTTTTTAATAAGCTTTTTGTTTGGTCCATTTCATATAGGACTGGCTGAACCATTTGGGTGTGCTTGTGCCTGCCTTTGTCTTCCCACCGTTGAGTGTTCTAGTGACAGTTTGTGTACTTATTGATTTCAGTCTGATTATCTGTCCTTGTTGTCTGTTCTCTGAGTGTTGTGTTAAGTTACTTCTTGATTTCAGGCTGATTATCTGTCCTTGTTGTCTGTTCTCTGAGTGTTGAAGTCAGACATCTCTTCATCCGTGCACCACTCTCTCCACACCATCATCATCAGTTCATTATTTCACACAGTTCACTTGCTCCCAGAGAGTCACCCTTGTGTGTGTGTGTGTGTGCGTGCATGCGAGTGAGTAAGGGAACCAGAATTGTTTCAGTGATGTATCTACTTGCTGTCTGCAGCATACATGGCCCCAGAAGTGATCACTCAGAGCAAGCAGGAAGGCTACGGTAGGGCTGCAGACATCTGGTCTCTGGGATGTGTGGTCATTGAGATGGCTACAGGCAAGGTAGGACTGCCTGTGCTTTCTCTTTCTGCATTGTTGTTGTCCATGTTATGTTTCCTCTCATTGTCTGTGTTGTTGTCATGTTGGGTCCGTTGATGTTTTAGTCAAGGAAGGTGGAGCTGCAATAATATACCAGCCATGACCTTTCTAGAAGTAAATCCTCCACAAGGAGGAAATCAGAAACATTAGAAAACAGGTTATAACAATGAACAAGGTTTCCTCAAACATCTCAACGGAGCAGACACAAGTCAGCATTTCTTGTTTAAAGTTGAGACTCAACAAACATTGATACAAATTAGATGTCAGCCAAACAGCTCTCTCTTAGTGTCTTCATGTGGAACACACCCCCAGAACATGTGTTGCAAGACTGCATTGCCTGGAGGAACTGCTAACATGTGACCACAAACAGTAGACCTGACAACTATGCGTTCGGGGAACTCAACAGGCTTAGATCCTAGTATATGGCACATAGTGGATTAAACATTCCTAAGAAACTACTTAAACTACTTGTTGGCAGTTGAAATGAGCTGGGTTAATATTTCATTTCCATAAGTACTCTATACTCATCTTCAGCAGCCAGTGCGGAGTTCTTTCTGATGATACCATTAGCAGTCTCATTATAGTCTGTCTTGCCTTTCCTCTGATTGTTGAATCTTGGCCACATCAGCAGGTTACTCTTGATAGCACCAGTCTCCCACCCTTTGATGACCTATTTGTGCTTTCGCATTGTTCACCAATCACTCAAACAGCCTTGACTGCATTTAGCTTGCTCTGCATCAAGTAACTGCCAGATGGGGAGGAATCAGCCGGTCTTCCTGACTGTTCATTTGCCAACACACCTGTGTACTTTAGAGAAAATATTGAATTGATTCTAACTACCCAGGATCTCTGAAGCAGTGCTTGCCACTCTGCGCAGACCATATGTGCGTCCATTCTCAGGGTGGTTCTGAAGCAAGCGGAAACCTGTAGTGACTGCCTCCACCTCCATTCTCAGTCTAAATATTGTGATATCGTGTGCCAGACTTTGTTGACTAAGGGTCATCCATTCACTTTTGTTATGAACCTCCAGATGCTTTCACGTCTGTCAGCACACACAGAGGCATCTGTGTAGCCATTCACATCCCCTGGGTGAAAATTGTCATGAATCAATTGTTGAAATTCTGATTCTGCTGTCCCCTCCTGCACTCCCGGCCCAGTTTAATTAGAACCCTATACAAGGCTGATTGTGCTGGGACACTTTGACCCATTCCTCTCCTCATCCAATGTTTTTTCAAGCTTGTACACATCTTTGATTGTTTCTTCTGCTTGTGCCATCCAGCAAAAATGTCCTGTTATCAACCTATGACCCTTAACTGTATTTAGAGCTTCGTGTAGGAGGTATTTCATGTCTGCAGCTGCTCTGAAAGTGTGAGCTCGCTTGCAGCATTTCCAGCCTGGAATATTTGGCAGTGCAAGAATGTATTGCATTCAGACTACTGAGGTATCTCTTGTACATCTTAGAATCAATCTCATAGTTGTTATTCTGTTTGTGTTCTAGTTTCACCAACCGACTCTTTGAAACAATGAGAACTCCCAGTCCATGCTATCATCCAGACTTTCAAGACGATTCTATAGAAGAATGATGGAGTGTGCTTCCGGAAAGAATGATGTAGTGTGGTTCAATAGAAGAATGATGGAGTGTGCTTCTGGAAAGAATGATGTGTGATTCTATAGAAGAATGATGGAGTGTGCTTCTGGAAAGAATGATGTGTGATTCTATAGAAGAATGATGGAGTGTGCTTCTCTAAAGAATGATGTGTGATTCTATAGAAGAATGATGGAGTGTGCTTCTGGAAAGAATGATGTAGTGTGGTTCTATAGAAGAATGATGAAGTGTGCTTCTGGAAAGAGTGTGGTTCTAAAGAATTAATCAAGTAACAGAAAGTGTTTTGATCAGCACTCATAGAAAGATAGAAGAACACACTAGACAACATAAAAATCGAAAGCTATAGTTACCGTGCCGGGAACTGAACCTGTCACCTCCAGACGGCGTGTGCGCCTCACCATGGATACAAGTGCACTAAGATCATGGTCAACGAGGCACCCCCAAAAAAGGGTGTCTTATTGGCCATGTCTATCGTACAGCTTGAAATTCACAACTATGGAATACGGCAGAATTAATTTCAAACCATTGAAATGGCACCATAGGATACAGAAATTTATATTAAGGAAGCAAATGTCGAATAACAATCACAGCAACAATTTACGAACACGGGAGACTTTTCATGCTTTGTCTAGAAAACACAAACATTTAAGAAAGGTATTTGATGGGTAGGTTCTAAAGAAGAATGAGGAAATGTGGTTCTGTATAACAGTTTGGCAGTGTGTTGTTGGCCCTGTTCAATCTTAGGAGGCAGGTCGAGCGCTTATAAAGATATTTGTGTTCAGTTAGAATAGTTGTCTAGAGAACCTAAAGAAACCACATTTCTAACATATATATATGTGTGTTATTTCCCTCTTTCTCTTTTTCTCCTGTCTCTGTCACAACCTATCTTTCTCATTCTTTCTCCCTCCCTCCCTCTCTTCCATCCCTTCTCTATCTCTCTCTTACTTTTCCTTTCTCCCTCTGTCTCTCTCTCTCACCCTCCCTCTTGATGTCCCTCCCTCTCTGTCTCTCACCCTCCTTCTCTGCCTTCTCTCTCACTCACAGAGACCATGGCATGAGCTGGAACACAACCTGCAGGTGATGTTCAAAGTTGGTACTGGTCACACACCTCCGATCCCGGAGAACCTGGGCAAAGATGGCAAGAGTTTCCTGGCCTGCTGTCTGGTGCACGAGCCGGAGAAGCGCTGGACGGCTGCAGCCCTGCTGGACCACATGTTTGTCAAGGTGAGTCACTCCATCATGGACAGTTCTTGTTGAGTCAACCCAGACGGGTTCCATGGCCCCATTGGAAAGGGGAGGGGTAGGTGGGGAATTAAACCTCCAGCCCCAGCCTGCCAATCAGGCATAATGAAAAATGAGACTTACTAGGAGTTTGCTGAAACATAGTGTGTAAGGCTGAAAGGGGATGATATCACAGCCTTGCTGTAAACCGCAACACAGTTACACCCTTTTAAGGGCGTATGTACACTGATAAGTATGTGAATATTATTTCTTATCAGATTTGGCTGCTGTACAACCCAGCAGTCAAAAGGGGAATTAGAAGGGGAAAAGCCAGTAAGAAAAACTATTTAAGCCAGTATTTAAAAAAAAACTATTTAATTAAAATTTCCCAGGGTTTATATAATTTTATTTTATGTTTTTGCTATAGTTTTAATTTATATTTGCCAGTGAAGTCCTAAAGTTTTGTTTTAAAGTTTAATTTAAATATATTTATCTATTTATGAAGAAAGTTTTCTTGGTTGGAAAATATGAAATACATACAGTATTGGTTTATAACTTGCAGTATTATGATGTTGAAGAGAACGACGAAGACAGTGATGAATCTTGACCTCACCCAGCACTGACAGAAGGACGCTGACAGTTTTTGATGGCATCTGTCGTCAGCAACCATCTGGTGCTGCAAGGAGCCACTTGTTTGACAGGGAGGAGCAGATGGGTGCACACGAGGGGCCGTCCTCTTGCAGCTGATTGCCTTTCTCCAGCTGTCTCCAGATGTTAATGGTATCATCAGCTCACAGAAGGAAACATAATGGATTTTATATTGTAGGCTGTACATAGTTTTATTTCAGTAATTAGGGTTGTTTTGTTTGAGGAGGGGGGGGGGGGGGGGGGGGGCTAAAGCTATTATCGAGAGAAATGTGCAGCTGGTGGGGAGAGGAATGTGCAGCTGGTGGGGAGAGAAATGTGCAGCTGGTGGGGAGAGGAATGTGCAGCTGGTGGGGAGAGGAATGTATCTTTTATGGGGGTATGGCATCTACCTGAAGTCCTGACAGTTGTGGGATTAATTGTGGACTCACTGCTGCAGATGTTTCAGAAATCCTGTATTGTTTCTGAAGCTGGAGAATTCATGCTTTGTTTAACATTCTTGTGCACGACCAACCACTTTGTGATAGGCCATGGAGCCAGTCCAGTTTAATCAAACCAGGCATAGTGAAGTAGATCTTCACAACTGTCAGACATCTGTTGTCACAGTTTTGTAAAACATTGCCAGACAATGCCTTTTAGCACTTTCAGATATCTGTTGTTGTAATAGTTTTGTAAAACATTGCCAGACAATGCCTTTTAGCACTTTCAGATATCTGTTGTTGTAATAGTTTTGTAAAACATTGCCAGACAATGCCTTTTAGCACTGTCAGACATCTGTTATAATAGTTTTGTAAAACATTGCCAGATAATGACTTTTAGCACTGTTAGACATGTGTTGTTGTAATAGTTTTGTAAAAAATTGCCAGACAATGCCTTTTAGCACTGTCAGATATCTGTTGTTGTAACAGTTTTGTAAAACATTGCCAGATAATGTCTTTTAGCACTGTCAGACATCTGTTGTTGTAATAGTTTTGTGAGACAGACAAACACTTGTAGCACTGTCAGACATTTGTTGTTATAACAGTTTTGTAAAACATGATTTGATTTGATTTGATTCAAGAACCGACATCACAGCACTCGGAGCATTCCCATAAGCTCTCCGTCCCCATCTTCAGCAGCCAGCGAAGTGTTCCAATACTAATGGTGCCAGTAGCATTCTGATTAAACGTCCGTCTTGCCTTTCCTCTGAGCCTCGAGCATCGGCCAGAACCTCTCGTCACTCCCAGCTGCATCAGTCTCACCAGACTGTGGTGATCCATCTGCTCCTCCGAACAGTACATGCTCTCCTACAAGGCACTCACCACGTCTGCCTTATCATGTATTAGTATTCCACCTAGTTGTGCAGAGCCAGCCAGTCTGTCCGCCTGTTCATTTCCCAACATACCAACATGCCCCAGTGAAAAAAATCGAGACAATACTCCTCACCCGTGTCCTTAGCAGCGAAACATGCCACTCTGCCCGAAGCATACCTGTTCTGATCTTCCTCAGCATGCTTTCTGAATCAGTTACAATCACATTGTGTGTGAATGTCGTGCTCTCTAGCCAGCGGAAAGCTGCAGTGACCGCCTCCACCTCCATTCTTAAGCTGGATGTTGTGGTATCATATGCTAGGCTCTCCTGCACCAAATGTCAACCATTAACTTTTGCTAAGAAGTGTAAATGATCAAATCCTCTGAGCGAGCATTATCTTGAATTAATTGCTGAATTTCCACCTCTGTGGCACCTGCTGGCCAGTCTCTGCATTCCTGGCTCAGCGTGATTATGACTCTACACAAGTCTGACTGTTCAGGTGGCACTTTGACCCACTCCTCTCCTCGCCTAATGTTCTCAAGGATGCAAACCTGTCTGATTGTGTCTTCTGCCTGAGCCATTCATGACCTCCCTCTTATCAGCCGCTGACCCTTAACTGCACCCAGAGCTTCATGCAGAGGGTGGTCTGTGTCTGTAGCTACCCTGAGATATGACTTCGCCTGCAGCACTTTGTGCCTACCTTCAACCGTCGGCAAACCAAGGATGTATCGCATACACACCACTGGGGTGTCTCTGGTGCAACTCAGAATGACCTGCATAGTCGCATTATGTATGCGCTCTAGTTTGTCTGACTCTTTGAGACGGTAAGCAATCCCAGGCCATAATCAACCACTGACAGGATCAGGTGCTGATATAGTGTGAAAAGTATTCTCTGCTCTGTGTGAATTGCAGCCATAGTCTTAAGTGCACTAAGTCCTTTTTGGCATCTCGTCACAACACTCTCCACATGGTCCTTAAATGACAGGCTCCTGTCAAATGTAATTCCCAGATACTTCAGTTTGCTCTCTCTGTTGATGTTTCTACCATCTATCATGAGACTTTGGACATTAGCTTTAACGATTCTGTTGTCCAGAGAACACCACAAAACAGACGCCTTTTCCAGGTGGACGACAGCCCTCATTTCTGTACACCACTCAGTCACTTTGTCTACTGTGGCTTGTAGCTCCCTGGCTGTTTGTTGCCTCTCTTCCCCCTGCCTATATGCAAGTATATCATCCGCAACAGTCAATATCCAACTCCTGGTTGTTGAAGAGCACAGATGAGTTAGCGGATCCCTGTGGCAGTCTTGGGGCCAAAGTGCATGGTTCTAAGGTCCATGAGTCCAGTCGGAGAGCTACCCGACGTGAATACAGGACAGCTGCAACCCAATTCACTAGCCATGGATTGACCTCCTTCTCCCTCAGTGCAGTCATTAAAATGTCGTATCTCACTCTGTTATAAGCATCCTCGAGATCAAGTCCTACCGCCATAGTTTCCTGTCTGTTCTGGAACCCTTCATAGACGTCAAAAGCAAAAGTGGCTGCATTTGCCCAAGTGTCCTTTCCTGGCCTGTAACTTCCCAGACCTCTTGAGAGAAGCTTCCACCTTTCCAAACATTCTTGTAACTTTACAGCAACTATCTTCTCCAAGACCTTCCCAAATGTGTTTTGTAAGGTGATGATTCTAAAGCCACTGAGCTTAGAATGATCTTTAAAAGGTTTTGGTAGTGGGATTAGATAGCTGTGCACCCAGTCTTGCGGTACTGATGCTGTCTTAATGCTCTGGTTAAAACAGTCGGCCATCTCCGCCAGGTTTACATCGCACAAAGCCTTCATGTGACCATACCTAACTCCATCAGGCCCTGGTGCAGTGTCTTTTGCTTTTTTTCTAAATTTGTTTGATATCTTCTACTTGTATCATGTCTTCATAATGCATATTTTTCAAGGTGCCAGCTAACTCCTTTCTAACTGCATCCCTGATGTTAACATCATTATGATCTGTCTGAGCTATAAACCTATGGAGAAAAGCCTCCCCTTTCTCCTTGTCTGTTGTCACACGCACACCATCGTCTCTACAAATTGTTCCGACTGTCATAGGCCGATCTTTTCTTTGCATCTGCCTTTGCAGTTTCCAGAATCTCCCCAATGTTTTATCGCCTCCCATGTCATTCACAAAAGTTTGCTCTTTCGGCCTCTGCTGCACAGCGTTTTAAAACCTCCACCTTTTCTTTTTTCACATTCTCCGCCATCTCTACTTCCTCTCGTGAGCTTGAGGGTGTCTGTCGTACTTTCTTTAGCTGCTTCAGTGCGACTCTCTTTGCCTTCCAAGTTTGTTCTACTTCTGGTGTCCACTATAGGGGGTGTAGAAAATTAGTTCTGGCAGTTCTGTTGCAAGCTCTTTGTCTGAGGCGTCCAAGTAGGTTGTTGGTACACTTATACCGGAAGGTCTTGTGTGCTCTCCTTACCTTAACCTTACTGGGTTTAGAAATCAGGACCTAACATGGTAGGTGATCACTCCCATGGTCATTCAGGACAGTCCATTTAACATCTGCACCTGCCCTCCTATTTCTATGCCTTCTCTCCCCATTCCCTCGTCGTCTCCTCCTCACTCCCTCTTCACTAACTGCTGAATAATGTGTCAAGCGCAGAGCACGTGCCCTGTAGCTCCGGCAACGATTCCTATGTATATTTTTAAAATCCATATGCGAAAAAATAGAGTACTGCAGGAAATGACCGGCCACCCTAGTATTGCCTGCCTGCTGGGGAAGGGGCAATGGATGTGCCGTAGGAGTCCATACGCCTGGTGCCGCCCGGCATGCCTGCCAGACGTCCAACATTCACGACCATCTCACCCGTGGCCATCTAGTTCCTCAGCACATTGGCCCACCTTGAACTTGGGGGTTTATATTCGGAGTTTACTGTTTCCTAGATGGACTGCTGTCCAAAGCTAACGGGTTCTATCTACCCGGGGAAAAGGGCACGTACGAAACTGTTGACATAAAGGAGATTTGTCCACCAGAACTTCCGCAATTGTTCCTATCCACTGACTGAACCAGGCACCACAAGGCTCCAGACCCCTTGTGCTGCATGAGACAAATAATCAAACTACTCAGATCAAACTGTAGGAGGCTGGGTTGATTTCATAGCCGTACTGGGTAGACATAGAATCCTGCCACCGATGAAGATGGAACCCAGCCTTCTACAATGGTTCCCAAGTGAACAAATGTATGTCACAGTGGTTCTGACAAGTAAAGGCAAAGGCCTTTTTTCCACAGTACAATTTCTATATTTTTAGATCAATCAGCACGCAGTGGTTGATGTGGTCAGTGTAACGCCAACTGCCCTTAGACTTTACCTGGTATTCTTAATGCTTGGTCAATATGAGCGCTCATTTTTTTTTTTTTTTTTTAAATAAAGCCATTATGACAAGTAGCAGTATAAATATTTATTTTTTGATAAAAATAATCCATTTTCCCGAAATTCATCAGGTTTAAAGCTTTTTTCACTATTTATAAGATTATGAATGATTCACTACAAAAGTCAATACAGAAGTAATAAAACTGCATAACAATTCAAAAGGCAGAGTTCATGAAAAGATCTAAAATTCCAGGGTGAGTAATGACAGTGGGGTTAGATGGGACACATGCTGAGAATACATATGTAACAGCATTGT